AATAATAGAATCTCTTATAATCTAAACAATTTCAGTGAATCGCACAGACACAAACAGTACCAAGAGATCACGCGATGATATCATTTATTTGTAAAGAAAAATAAAAACAACTCCCTCCTACTACTTTTATATATTTAAATATTGTATTTAAATATATTTGCTCCTTGCAATGCTCTCAAATGAATCTTTACAAATGTTGGTTGCCCCTGGGTTGGAAGAACTCCAGAAAATAAAAATATCAGACAGAGCTTTTTGGCAGTGGAAGCTTGATGTTATTGAAAAAATATGAGTGGGCCCTGCAAAATATAAATATTCCCAAAAGGTCCTTAGGGGACGCCCTTGGCACTGTTTGTAGTTCTTCCAACAAAGTAATACCTTTAATGAGAGCAATTTACCAGTCTTAATTCTACACCGAATTTACTTGCTCACTACTACACTAGTGTTTAGTGTTGCACTTAAAAGGTGAATCTTTTGTAGTGGCCTATTATTTACTGAATTACCTTTTGTTTACCAATTTGATACTATAGCATATAATAAAGAACTACCAGGTTATTGAGAACTAAAAGTGAGTACAATTTGATTTATTAAGCATTATTTAAGATTTACAATGATTCCAGTTTGACAGTTTCTGATTGTGTGGTGCAATATAAAAATATGACCTTGAGTGACACAATCAGACGGAATTGATCTGTCTGAGAATGTTGAACGGATTTATTCAAAGGGGAATATTTGGCGCGGTTTCACACCGATCTCGAAGGTGTCAACGGAGGAGTGGTATTTAATTTAATTTGAGACGACCAGTGCCAAACAAGTCCTGTTCGTTGGCCAACGATGTAAATATGAAGGTCGATTCTCGAAGGTCAACTGATTAAACAGTATTGCGTTTAATCGTAATAATATTTACTGGAACGTTGCTTATTGTTTTATAGCTAATTTGGCACTTTGGCGGTTCGTCTATATGCAAACTGGCACAGCCTCCGATAACACTTCCCGATTCAGCCGAACCAGCAACCTAATCCCTCCTTTGATATTAAATGATTCCCCCAAATTAAAATGCTGATTGTGACACTCTGTAACGAATTGTACTTTTAATAATGACTCTGTGCAAAATTCAAATACTATATAAAAATATTACAAAGCAACTCTGAATTACCCTATAAAAACATTTTCATATATTTATTCTTAATACTATAGAAATATCACAGTCTAATAAATAAAGCGGATTGCAACAATATGAATGGATTTAAAAATCAACAAATTGTGATCGAACCTATGAACATGTGCTTATTCTACATGAATTGACAAAACAAGACAGGAAAATTTACCAAAGTGCGACTCACTGAAAATCTTAATTTAACAAATAAATACACAAAATTACTTACAGTTTGGACGTCCACAAATATAACACAAAGGGGAAAGGATGGGAAAACGCAACTAGCCGGTATACTACAACACGCGATCAATTGAACTCGTGAATCGTTTGAGAAATTTTCAAATGGCGGACTGCGTTTGGCCGGTAACGAACTTTTGCACTTTTTGACAAAAACACTGATTCTAATTTCCGATCGCGAGGCAATTATATCCCTTAGGGATATAGGCTGAACGACTTTAAGGAAATTTAAGATTGGCCGACCAAACGCCGCGAAATGAATTTAATTTCCACGAACGATAAACAATTTTACCGAACTAGCTACGATGAGACTTGGGTAAGGACTGAGTACTGATTTAAACAGATGGCCGCCCGGCTAAACCTTATCCCCTCTCCGTCTTTAGTGCGTGGTGCATTCTGGTCTATACTGATCTATTGTTGAAACCAGCTGACTGTTCTTCGCATTAACCTGTATTGATTTGTTGCCTTTTACAACAAAATCGGTACATTATGTAAAAGAACACATTTCTCACTAAGAAAAGATATCTGATGTGCACAACTATTGTACTAGATCAAAAGATAATCTGTCTACACTAAGGCATAAGTATACATCAGCCACTCAAAATAGTTTTGAGTACCAAGGTGTTAAAATGTAAAATTTCTTGCCTGCATCCATCAAAAACCTGTGTGTTTTAAAATTCAAACATGTTTAAAAAAAAACTACTCTAACCCAGGCTTGCCTGTATAAACATGAAGAGTACTTTGGTTTAGAGTTTTAGATATTTTAGTTGCCAGAGCCATCTTGATTGTTTTGTTTTTCTTTTGACGATTGTCATGAACTTTGTATATAGTTTTAACGACAATAAATCATCATTTCATTTTATTTCAAGAATATCCACGATGTCATTAATGAAAGTTATGAAGAGGTGAGGTGCTAGCAACGAGCCCTGGGGGACGCCTGAGAGTTGGATAAATACATCGGAGTTGCAATTAAAGGGGCAGTTTTATATTCAAGCACCGCCCAGTAAGAGTCTTCCATCCACTTGAGAAATTGACCAAGGATCCCGTAGGCTTTCAGTTTGGCAATAAGGATAGAGCGATCGACCTTTGTCAATAGCTTTTGCAAAATCACCAAAAACTACATCCAGCTGTTTTCCGTTTTTCAAAGCTGATAGAATGTTGCTCTCAAATAATAAAAGGTTGGTCACAGTAGACTTCGAGGCTGTAAACCCATGTTGCCTATGGGGATGAGTGGTCTTAGGAATGGTTTGAGTCTAGAGAGAACAAGTGATTCGAACACTTTACTAATAGCTGGTAGTATAGCTTAGGCCTGTAGTTTTTTTTTACTCTTGAAGGAATTCCCCCCTTTAAAATATAGGGACTACTTGGCTGACCTTGAGAATTTCCTGAATGATCCCTTGATATAGTGAAGAGTTGAAGAGGAACGAGAGGGGTCCCGCTAGGAGCGTTCGGCAATGCTTCAGAAATAAATAGGTGGTTGGGGTTCCCCCCCATCACTGCTGGTGGTCCCCTTCTTCCTGGCTTTGATGGTGGGCTCTGCCTGTCAGGGATTAGATAGGTCCCGAGTGTTGCTTGCACTAAATGCGTCAGGGCATTCCATTATGGTCCTTCTGGGTTTCGTACCTGGGGGAGCCCAGGTGGAGTGACGCTTAAACAAGTAGCCGGTATCCCTGGTTAGGATTGAGGGGAAACCCTCTCTCCGATGGGTTGCTTCGGCAGCCGGTGAGCCTGATGACCTTAAGTCATCCTCCCATGATGTGCCAAAGGTTGGTGCATTAGCTTCGGCCTACATCATGGGGCCCGGGTATGTTTAATTACAGGTACCGGGCTTGCAGTCAGGGAGCTTGCTCTTATGACAAAATGAAATGTGAAATGCGAAAAAAATGCGAAATGCTTCAGAAACGAAGGTGGAATGTTGTTGGGACCAGCGCCTTTATTAATGTTTAGCTTGGAAAGGCAATCCAGAACTTCGGATGGGTTGAAGCTAATAGAGGCTAGAACAGAGCTACTGTTGAACTCGAAGGTAGGGGGAAATTGCACATTGCACAGGCTGGGAAAAGACTGACGAGAAGAATATGGAAAACATAGCGGCCATTTCGTGCGGATCAGCAGAGGTGTTGTTGTCCTAAGACATCTGAGATGGAAAGCCGGGAGATTCACGATTCGCCCCCACGAAGCTCCATAACGCTTTGGGGTTGTTGGGGGATAGTGTGATGTATGTGACCTGTGTGACTATGTCGGGTTAGCGTCGTCTGTTGTCGTAACTGATCAGTAAATGTTTCGTGTCCGTATCGTGTTTTGTGTCCTGTGTAAATATGTTTATTTATTTTTACGTGTTAAATTTGACGGTCTTCATGTGAGAAAGAAGAAGTCCTTGTACCGCCTGATGATGACTCCACATAGGAGTTGAAACTAGTTGACATTGCATTTAAATGGATTGTTTGATAGCAAGTATTTCAAACCTTTTTAATATTATTTGGCAATCCGGAGGCTACTATCCACAATGAGAATTCGGCGTTTGCACGGACTAGAAATACCCACAACCCGACGTGGGCAATCACTTTTACTTACATCGCGTTGTGTGTATTTAGGATTTGCTCATTCGCCGATGAACGATTTGACTTAGGCATTTGAGTAAATCAGATTACCCACAACGCGGTCTGGGCATTTCGTTTCGGCCAATGTCTGAATAAAATGCTCACCCCGCGATGCGACGTGTGTATAAATACTTACCGTCCACATCGCGAAGTAGGTAAAAATTTCGGACAGTGTCCGAACTCGGAGTTTGAGTGTAACATATACACACGACAACGTCAACAGTCTGTAGCATATTTTGAGTGTTAGTTACATTTCGTCGTTATAGGCTGAAAAATAATGAAAAACTTGTTTTAGAGCGCGTATATTATTAGATTTATGTTAAGCAGAGTGCACGGATTTTTAAACATATTTTGCACGGATTTGTGATTCGTGAGGGAAATGCGGGATTTTTATGCTTCTGAGGACCGGTTTTTTACAGTGTTTCCATACGTGGGATTAAAACGGGATGCGGGATGGATTGTTGGCAATGATGACTAATTTTATTTTGTTCTACTTAATTTTAGAGAAAAACTAACTCCATTGATTATAGACTACTGTAGGAAAATATAATAGCAATGTTTAAACAACTTTTTTAACATGATGCGTTAAATAATAATATACAGTTCAGTTACACTCGAGATTAAACGCAAAAAAGTATGCGGGATAAAACAGGATTTTTTTAAAATTCAAAAGTGATATTAAATGGGATTTTTTGACCTAGTAAGCGGGATTATTCTTTTGTTCGTGTGGATTGGGTACACTCGGGTACACTACACTACACTGGAACTGGAATACTGGATTCCTTAAATTCCTTCATTCCTTCCGGAGTTGTGTCATGTTTCTCGTGTGCGTGTGGCAACACTGGCTAGGGCTAGACTCGCTAGACTAGGCTTGGCGCTGGCGCTGGCGCTCGCTTGATCTTGCTTGATCCATATTCCATTCCAGATTCCATGATGACTGAGACTGAAGAATGAATCGTTTCGTTGTTTCGTTTTCGTTACGTTTGTCTTCGTCTTCACTCTTCCTTCCTTCAGTCAGTACTCAGTAGTGTTAAAATCAACTGCATAAATTGAAGTATACCCATGTTTTAATTATCTGCTTCTTGCATGATTAACTTAACTATTTTTGATCGTTGGAACAGTTAGCTTTTTAAGTGTCTGGTAAGTTAACTTGAGTTTTATAGTTTAAGTACATGTTAAAATAAAATATTCATCTTTTCTGTAATGGCGTCTGCTGTAGATTAGTGGTATGGTAGTTGTGATGCACTTTGGCACTTCGTAACTTAACTTCTGTAAAATCTTCTAATAGTTAACTTAGGCCTACCTTCCTACTACTGTATGTCTAAGTTAAATAGTGGTTCTAAAATGTTTGTTTCCCGCAGTTTGCAGGGTGATAGTAAAAAAACTAGCTTATTTTTAGTGTGACTTGTAGTGTAGAGTAGGCCTAGCCTATTCTCAAAAGTGAAAGGCCCAGCCATGAGTAAATAGGTCATGTCATAGGATAGCTTTGTTTTTAAGGCTAGGCTATCATGTCTAATAAATTTAGGACCACTTTAACCCTAGGACTGCCCTGATGGTTTGGATGAATGTCCCTGCCATTTTTGCGATTTCGTGAGAGTTCTTTTAACCCTCCAAGTGTCCATAGTTTAGGCCTTAACACGTTCGCTGCTACGGACGTTCCGGAACGTCAGCCGGGCCACGGCGCCAGGAGCTAAGAACGTTCCAGAACGTCACCGTTCATTGTTGTTTAACGTTGCTATAGATAAGCCAGCACGTCACAAGCGTTCTATATTTCTTTGCAGCTCGTGGGGACGTACTTTTCTGACAATAAAAAATATAGTTTCCCAAATCACCACCAGGGTTGTTTGGAACAGGGCTTTGTTTTACCTCTTTCCTGCTAGATAGCGACACTACTTTAACGACTGTAACCTGGGTAGTGCTGCTATCTATCAGGATCACTTAGTACTATATCCAAAGCCAGTTTTATTGCAGAACATTGCCATCCAGTATAACTACTGTTGTTTTTATTGTAATTCAGTGTATCGGTGGCAATGTCACATAGCGGCCGAGCGTTAGTTCAGCAACTGGCGCCGTCCCGGCATCTAGCGCTCAGCAGCGAACGTGTTAATGTCCACCTATTTTTGGCGCATTTGCAAGGTTTTATTAAAACGGATCTGAGAAGCTTAAAACAATGTTAATTCTAATGTTCTATATACCATTTTGTTTGGAAAATCATGGGCTTCAATATTATGTATAAAACATAAGGAACATTAACCCTCCGAGTGTCACGTGTTTTGGCCTTAATGTCAGCCTATTTTTTGCTCATTTGCAAGATTTTATTAAAACTGATCTGAGAAGCTTAAAAACAATGTTAATTATACTGTTCTATATACCATTTTGTTTGGAAAATCTTGGGCTTCAATATTATATATAAAACATAAGGAAGATTTTTAAAAAAAAATTTTTTTAGGTAAAAAAAAATGTATAATTTTGAAAATTAAAAAAAAAAAATAAGTTTGCGCTCAATGAAATTGTATAAATTATAGGCCTATAAATATTTGAAAATAGCCACTTTGTTCTAAATTTTATGAGGATTACAAATATATAATAATATAAGGAAGTAGATTTGCAAATAAATAAGTTATGGGCAAAAAACAGATTTCAGTACATAGCGTTTAGCTAAGAATGCATAGCCCAACCATAGCTAGGAATCTGGCTGATAATTTACATCAATATCACTACCTACTTCTTCAGGATCATCAACCAGCACTTCAAAACCACTTAAATCTTCTTATAATGCACCACGTATATCACTACTTTTGATTTTTAACACTAAAACAATGATAAATGTAATAAAACACATCAGTCATCGGTCCAAGGGTAAACTAGCTGTTTACAAATACACCACGCACGTCAGCTCAGTCAGCTGTCTGCTACAATATTTTCGGAACTAAAATGAATAGTGCTTAGAGACAGACCTAGGAGAAAGCTTAGAATATTACGGAAAGAACGATACCTAACTCAATCCAGTACAGTCCGATTCAGTTAGTCATAGAGCCTTCGCCGTAAACAGTGTTCGCGAGTCGCTGTAGCGACGCACGACACTATACAAAGTGCGTTACGCGTCGCTGCAGCGACGCATGACGCTCGGAGGGTTAAAAAAAAAAAAATTTTTAGGTAAAAAAAATATAATTTCGAAAATTTTCAAAAAAAAAAATAAGTTCGCGCTCAATGAAATTGTATAAATTATAGGCCTATAAATATTTGAAAATAGCCACTTTGTTCTAAATTTTATGAGGATTACAAATATATAATAATATAAGGAAGTAGATTTGCAAATAAATAAGTTATGGGCAAAAAACTGATTTCAGTACATAGCGTTTAGCTAAGAATGCATAGCCTAACCATAGCTAGGAATCTGGCTGATAATTTACATCAATATCACTACCTACTTCTTCAGGATCATCAACCAGCACTTCAAAACCACTTAAATCTTCTTATAATGCACCACGTATATCACTACTTTTGATTTTTAACACTAAAACAATGATAAACGTAATAAAACACATCAGTCATCGGTCCGGGGGAACCTAGCTGTTTACAAATACACGCACGTCAGCTGTCTGCTACAATATTTTCGGAACTAAAATGAATAGCGCTTAGAGACAGACCTCTGGAGAAAGCTTAGAATATTACGGAAAGAACGATACCTAACTCGATCCAGTTCAATCCGATTCAGTCAGTCATAGAGCCTTCGCCGTAAACGATGTCTGCGTGTCGAAAAATCGACAAGTAACACTACACAAAGTGTGCTGCTTGTCGAATTTTCGTCAAGTAACACTGGGAGGGTTAAAAAATGTGCAGTGTCTAAAAACTTAGGCCTAAAATACTTATGATAACCTAGGTTAGTCATTTAAGTTACATAGCCTACTCATTTTGTAGAGAAAAGGAGATTTTGAATAAAATAAACAGCCTAAGTACCTAAATGAAAATCGCTAGGGGTACCTAATCTCTTTAGTACAGTTGAAAAGTTAAGTAAAATTTGCGTAAACTATTTTACAACAATTTTAAAAGTAGAGTCAGGGTACAGTTTCTTAACTGGGCTACCAACGCTAGCCTAATATCGATTAAAACTATCGAATTGAAAATATTGATTAAAAATCGATATTTTTAAATAAGTTAAAGTTACATCTACCTATTTAGGCCTACTTATTATGAAATTAAACTAGGCAACCTAACCAACCAAACTTGCTGATGGTGAAAAAATCGCATGAAGGTTTACTAATCGAATCGATAGTTTCAATCGATATTAGCGTAGCCCAGTTAAGAAACTGTACCCGAGTCCTTGAATTTTCCTACAAAATTATGAAGGAAAAATTCAAGATAGGCCTATACAAAATGTACTTAGACATTTTATTTCCCTACGTATAAATAGGCCTATGTTTAGTAAAAAAAAATTAAATGAATAAAGTTAAGTTTAGTTACAATTGTTTGAACTTTAGGTTATTTTAATGTTGTATTGAATGTTGATCTGCACATCTATATTTACACTCTTAAGATTAAAGTTAAGGGTATATGTACTTCCATATCTGTTGGCACAAACAACCGAATGAAAATATCGATCGTAAGGTTAACCTAACCTAACTGGCCAAACGATACATCAAATTAAACAATTGATTAATCAATATTTACTCTATTTGTTGTGCCAAGAGATATGGAAGTGTACCCAAAGTTAGGCCTAATAGCGTAAGTCACATAATTGATTGATTATGCCATTTTAACCCATTGGCGCTGACTTACGAGCGTTACTCGTACGGCTGTGCAAGCCCGGCGGCCGACTTACTAGTGCCGCTTGTGTCCCCACTACGCAGCGCAATTAGCTATTTTATTATTAGGCTATGATTTCCCCCTTTTTGTTTATTCTTACTTTTAACTTTTCCTTTATTAGCGAATTTCCCTATAGGGAAGTAGCTATTACCGTAGGTCTAAAAACTAGGTAAGACCTAGGCCCGGGACCGATTTACTTTTTCATTTTGATGTCCCCAGAGGCCTATAACACTATTCGTTCAAATTTATATATATATATGCATGTACAAAAACAAATTTATTATATAGTTATCGTCCATCCGCACGATAACTTGAGTAATTCTTGTCCGATTTTGATACAATTTGGTTTGAAGGTGTAAGGCGGGATAAAATTGATTGAGTTCACGAACCAGCATAATCGGACCATGGGAACGGGGTTCAACGGGGATTTTTATGGGGTAAAAATGGGGTTTTCTCATTTTTTACCCTTAAAAACACAAAGTTTATCAATTTTTCTTCAGACCTTTTTAAAGAGCTTAAAAAAACAAATAATTTAGTTCGGTATATCAAAGTTTTTTTGTTCGATGATTGGTTACGGAGAAAATTCAAAACATTGTTAATTTAAAATTCCCATGTAATTCATATATGGAGAATTTATAATGTGTTGTAGTTGGCTTGTTTATGGATATATTTTGATCAAACTTGGCGGATTTATTTATTTCATACTAAGCTATTGATATTTTAATAAAAAACACACTTTATTAGTATCCCTGTAGCAGCTAACATAGGTACTCGTTAAACATAAATAAATGTTTAATTTAATACATTAGCCTAATTAAAAATCAATCCAGGGAAATGGAAATTCGCTAAGTCGGCAGGTTTGCTGCAGCGGGGGTATTACTATACGAGACCATCTTGTATAAAAAATAGTTGCTCCGAGCACCAGCAGGAGGCTAATGGGGTTATTAGTATCCATGGCAACTTGATTGGATGCGTGGAAGAAAGGAAACCCGAGAAATAATGGAAGAACAAAGAGAAAAAATAATGGAAGTTTTTATGTTAAGCTGGGTTTTCCTAGGCGCAGAAGCGGAGTGCGGAGAGAGGAACGCGGAGAGCGGAATTGAGATTAACATGGTGTTCCGCTCCGCTTCTAGGAAAACAGTACAGTAACATTAAATTACCTAAGAGAAGTGGAGTCCGCTCTCCGCGTTCCTCTCTCCGCTTACGCGCCTAGGAAAACCCGGCTTTAGGCCTATCTTTGTGAGTTTACTTAACTTAATCTAATGTTTTATAGGTTTCAAAAAAAAATTTGTTATATCTACTGGATTGGCATGCTTCTCTTCTGAAACAGCAGCACTAAGTTTACTGGACCATGCGTAATGAAGGTCAATGACCTAAAATATCATGATTGTGCAATTTTAAGTATAGGCCTATATTGTATTTTTATGTAAAAAATGAAAATCATCCATGGCATTAATTTGAATTCAAATATTTCTCCTGGTCCCTGGCATCTCTTACAAAACTAGCTGTTACCTGCGTGATTCGCCCCGTTTGACCTCATAAGTATTAATAAAACTATTGATTGTCGTACCGGGTTGGATGGCATTTCAAGTGGCTTTTTATGGTTACTTTGAAGAACAACATTGGACTTAATAAGCCGAGCATTGTCAGGGCCGAGCCCTAGGAGAGTACCTACTGACACAAAAGTTGACTATCTCCATTAAGCCTGTGGTTATATTGGCTGTATTCATGGGAAAAAAACTGCTCAGTTGGTCAAGTAGTTTTTACGTTATAGAAATTTTTACTTCAAAGTTCAAACATTAATAATATCTATGATTTAATTTCCTTCCATTTAAGTCATTGACTTGATCAGAAACGCACTAAAATTATTATCAGGCTACTCCGTTTCCCAGACATAATTTTTGGGAAATCCAACACAACCAACACTTTTTAATAAAAGTTTTGGGGAAAAAAAGTCAATAAGTTGATGAATTATGCACTTAAAATAAGTTACCCTATTCACTCAATACTACAACAATTTAGTAGGTAGGCCTACTGTATTTGACAATTCTCATTGTGTATCACAGCTTTTTGTTGCTGCTTTGTTAAAAATAGCTGTTATCACAAATTTAAACATAAAACTTAAATTTGTTGGTATACCACTGGTATAATAAGTGTTGGTAAACCTTAAGTAACTTTATAATGCTATGGAACATCATAGAACCAACTTGTTTAATTGAAACTGCTGTTAAGATTCATTAATTCCTTTTAAATACTAAAGATCATAGGGTAAGGTTAACATGGGAAACTCCAGAGCTCCTGGGGCGGAGCCAGAATAAAAGCCGCTTAGTTTTTCTATTTAATGCCTTTTAAAGAATTGGTGTAATAAATTTCATTCAACTATGTAAATGGGAAGTAGGAGAATAAGGGATGAGTGAGTCAGTCAGTGAGGGCTTTGCATTTTATATTAGAGATCAATGATAACTTAAATAATTGTTGTTAATTAAAATTATATTTTTGATAAATTAAAGTTTCTACGTGGAAAAAGACAATAAAAAGTCAAACCGGGCAAGTAATTCCCATAAAAACCAACTTTGTATCATTGTCCTGAGATTAAAAAAGGAATCCCCCTCACCAGCCCTTTAGGTAAATGGTGCAAGTCTAAATATATAGCTTCAAGGTTGCATCCACTGACCCACCCCTTCTCCCCTGCCCTATATCACTTTGAAAATATGGAATATTCCAACTCATAATCTACCTGTAGTTTGTTTACTATCTCGGAGCAGATTTTAGCTACTTTTTAGACTTAGTTTATAGCTATTATTGCATGTCGGTCGGACTTCACAATATTCACTACACCAATGCATCTTTTGTAATAAATTTATTTGTAAATGAACATAATACTCTACACAAATGCAATTCAATTGTCAATTGGAGTGATTCAAATTAAAAAATACCCCCGCCGCAGCAAACCTGCAGACTAAGCGAATTTCCATTTGCCTGATTGGATTCATACTGAAATGTCTACTTAAAAATATAACAGTTATTCCCTATTTAATTAGAATTAGTTTAAGGTGTACTGCATCAGGGAGGGTAAAACTGTTGTTTTTTTCGTAAAATGTTAATTGTTGGTAAGAAATAAAAACATTTTCTAAATTTGATCAAAATATGTTCATAAACAAGCAAACTACAACAGTTTACAAATTTTCCATAAGAATAACATGGGAATTTTAAATTAACCAATTTTTTGGAATTTTCTCCGTAACCATTAGGCGCATAATAACGCTTCAATAGGTACTAAATTATTTGTTTTTTTAAGCTCTACAAAATGGTTTGGAAAGAAATTGCTAAATTTTATGTTTTTTTTTGTCAAAAATGGGGAAAACATATTTTTACCCCATAAAACTCCCCGTAAACCCCCGTTCCCATAGTCCGATCATGCTGGTTCGCGAACTCGTTCGAATAAATGTAGGTTTACACGATTATACCAAATTTCGTCAAAATCGGATCATTTTTGCTCGAGTTTTAGTGCTAACGGACACTATATAATATATATATATATAATATATATATATATATATATATGAATTTGAACGGGTGGTGTTTTTGGCCTCTAGGGACCTCAAAACGAAAAAAAAATCGGTCCCGCGTCCAGGTCTTACCATGAGTAGGCCTACTACGGTAATAGCTTAATTCCCTATATGGGAAATTCGCTAAAAAGCATTGTTGTGGTGGACGAGTCTATTAAGCCGGAGGAGGGGGAGGTAGCTTCATTGACAGCCTACAGAATTGTTGAAAGGCTAGTCTGTTTCATGCGGGAGAAGTAGCTTAATTTCGAGCCTATTGAAAAACTGACTGGTAAATTTACTCTACTCCAGCTGACTATAGAGAAATATTACAGAACATACGAGCTGCTTACTGTCTAGTGTTGTGGAAACATTTTAATTAAGTGATTGATTTTCAGGATTTATATTTGCAAATTCTGTGTAAATGAGTGTTATGGGCGATAAAGGTCCAAATCAGCCGCACCCTTGGCAGTACCCAATGTACGGAGCATACAATCCCTACCAGCAGTAAGTATCTTTTTAAATTTATGTTTCATCATTGTCATGTTGTTTTTATTGTTTTCATTGTCATCTTTCATTCTTTCCTTAAGGGAACGGTACCCAAACCTTGGTCCTGTTACTATTCCATGTTGGCCTTTTGTCTAGTTCTATAATTACTGTAAATAATAGCCTTTTTTTACAAATGACATATGGTTTCAGAATCAATCCTGCTCTTTTCATTATTATGAAAAAACTCATTGGTCTTGTAAGAGCTAAAATTATCTTATATCGTAAAAGAAAATCATTGGGCCAAAAAAAATCATGGTTTCTATCGATTTAACCAACAGGCGTGAAGACTTTAATTCTTGCCTATCACTGATAGGCCTAGATATTTTTTGTCTGTTAACAGCATAAACTAGTAAATGCAAGCTTAAATGCGTCTAGAAATTTTTTTAGAAAGTAGAAGCTCATTATACCTATTAAGTTTTCTGTAGGCCTAATTGGTTTCAAGTAACCTTTATGCTAAACTTGTGATTTTTTTTTCAGATTTCAAGCTTACCAGCCTCAGTTTTACAACTATTACCATGAGGTAAGCTAATTGATCTCAATATTTTATTCTAAGAGGTTTGGGCTATTTTTAAAGAAGTGCCTTGGAACATTCTTAAATGCCTTTTTTACTTTTATTGCAACCTTGAAATCTTTTTGAAGAATTACTCAGGGCTACGTGCCACATAACTTCATTTCATTCACATTCTACTTACACATTCTAGGATCTAATGTCGTACAAATATTATTTGTCTTTAAACAGGTTTATCAAAAAGTCTAATTAATTTGTTATACTTAAAAAAAATATAGATATATATTCTAACCAACAATTTTCAAGAACTGGTTGGACTTGTTGTTCTTCCCTATAGGCCTAACTTTTATTTGTCTTATTGACCAATTAAAATGAAATTAGCCCTCTTTACATTTTGTTAACTAACAATTTCAATTTTAAAAACTATTTTTTCTGTTTAGGCAATGCAGTTTGGTCAACCTGTCAATCCTATGATGCAAGGGCCATTCAAACATTTCGCTTCTGGAGGTAAATATATGATTTTATACCTGTTTGACTGAAATGTGCCTATTCAGTTGGCTAGTTCAATTGATCTTTGTATAGCAGCTCACTTTCAGCTATTTCAATAGCAAACAGCTATGGCATGATAGAAAATATTAAGGCCCTTTGGTTTATTATAGCCTAGTTATAGTGTCATGGTCCAATCCAGAATTTTGGAATGTTTAATAACAGCCTGAGTAGTCTAATATTTTTATAAAATAAAATAAGTTACATGGAAATGTATTCTCACTATTATTTACCTAATTCATGAACTAAACTTGTCATCCCTATCTGTACTCGTTAGGCCTTAGTTTCCTACACTTTATTGTAGGTAGCCTAGCCTATTTTAATTTTAGTTTTACCATACAGTTCATCTTTCCCCCTCATAGTATCTGCATAACTCTTCTCTACTGCACTCTAAATTGTTAGGCATACTACAACAAGGCTTCAATATTCATAATTGTTTCTTTTTTAGGCCTGCAAAATGGTTTAGACAGATAGGTAAACTTGATATGAAATTTTTGTTTTATGGTAAACAATGGGAAAAAACCTATTTTCATCCCATAAACCCCTGTAATCATAGTCCGATCATGCTGTTTCGGGAACTTGTTTGAGTAAATGTAAATTTACACGTTAGTACCTGATTTCAACAAAATCAGATAATTTTTGCTAGAGTTACTGCAGTAATGGACACACACACATAACAATAGGAGGGTGTTTTTGGCTTCTGGGGAACTCAAAACTAAAAAATAAATCAGTCCCGGGTCCAGGTTTAACTATGAGACCTACAGGAATGGCTTATTCCCTATATGGGAAATTCGCTTAAAAAACTAGAACAAAGAAATATCGATTGTGACGCTTACTCTGACGATCGTCTGCTCCTTACAAATCTCTCTGCTGTGTGCTATATCACAGCTAAATAATTACAACATACCGCATAGCTGCCTGTGATTGGGTGATCTGTTATTGTAAGCCAGGTTATAACATGACTCGTAATAACTATGCCAACTATGGCAAATTTAATAGTCTGTTATTATGTGATAAATAACCCTTGCAACTTGTTGAATGCTTGGACGAAGAGAAACCCAAGAAACAACAGTTGAACAAGAGAAATAGGCTTAATAACAATGTTTTTATGTCGTTGTCATCTTTATATCCATTTTGCAAATGTTATTATTTTGAATAGGCCTATGCTACTATTATTTTATACTTTTTGAGTTATCAAATGCTTTAAGACGGTGACACACTATCGATCTTTTCCCCGAACAAGACCCCGAACCGAGCAGGGAGAAGGGAGGTCGAAGGGAGCATGTTCGATAGTGTGTCACGGGTCCGTACACCGATCCAGACGGCGAACCAGACATCAGGCCGAGCAGGGAGACGAGCGCTCTGGAGGCGGGTTTTTTTGCGAAAGATCAAAGAAAAGATCGGTCCGATGTACGGAGTGATGTACGATAGTGTGTCACGGTATATTTTTGCCCCGTACATCGTCGCGAGCGCCGCACCGAGCGGCCACCTGTGCTACCGTTAATAGTTCTAATTTAATATGGAATTTAAACTCTTTAATTGCTAAAATAAATAAATGTTGGGTAATATTTTGCTGTTATATATTATGGGCATTTATGTTGTAATTTTGTTGTTTGTTTGGTCAAGGTTGAAAATGTATTTTACAAGTTGAAATCGTTAAATCAATGATACCAATGATGTTTAACTTGAATTTAGTAATTGATGTTATACTTTAATTCTTTCTATATTAATATAAACATAAATATTATTAAAGGCAATCAAAATTATTATTCTGTAACATGTTATTTCATGTTTTATTACTGTTTTAGTATTACTGCCTCCGCGCTCTCACTCACACACGCTCTCCATCTCTCTCTAAACTCCCTTTGCCGCGCTCGGTAGAACTTGTCTGGTCTTGGTCTTTTTCGGGGAAATGTTCGGATTGAAAATTTGCAGATTTTTACCTCCCTTCTCCCTGCTCGGTTCGGGGTCTTGTTCGGGAAAAAGATCGATAGTGTGTCACCGCCTTTACTGTCTCCAGTATCATCATGTAAATGATTTTTTTTCTACAACGGAAACATCAATGCTAGTTGATTATCGTTTTATTATTCAACTTTTTTCCTCTGTTCTTAAAAAAAAAAAAAAAAATGCTGGTAGTCTATCTCTAACAGTAGCTCTCTCTGGACATTGTTTTGTTCATTACTTGATTTATTGCTGTGGAAGCGTACTGGCCACGTTCAGTCAACTATGCATGCAAAATCCTGTAAGGTAAACAGACCAAATACCGAACACCCGCCGGTTTTCGTCTCAAATAATGAGCCTATGCTTCAATTTATCAACACCAACTGAATATTAATGTTTTTGTTGGCATTTAATTTGTCTGCATTTATTTTTATATGATTTCTGAAAAATGTCCTTTTCCTTACGAAAACTGATGAATTCCTTAGGCATAAATAAGGATACGTGCTAATTTTTTATCAAGAACAGTTGTTAATGTCACAATTTAATTATTTTTCTTTAATTTCAAACTAGCGATGGGTCGGTACCATTTTTTCAATGTCGCTACCGGTACCGGTTCCTAACCAAAATCGTTTCTCGGTTCCGGTACCATCGGTACCTTGTTTTAAATTAAACTACTTAGGCCTAATTGTTTTATTTTTGAAACAAAATATAGTATCCCTATTTTAATTTTTAAAATTGACGTTTTTTCATTAGTTTAGGTTTGATATATTAAGGGATTTTTCCATAAGTGTTAAATATAGGCCTATTTGTTGAAATGATTCACTGCTAAACCAATAAATTTAACATAGGCTACTAACCTCTTGGAAAGAAAAGTGGCTCTGGAAATTTGGTTAATTAAGTTAACTGCCTGTTAAGTTCTAGCTAAATATTTAGAAATAAGTAATTTTGAGTCATTTTGTACCTATAACCTGCATTAAGTTAATTTTAGGTTCCAGTATTAAGGAAAATGTAGAACAAAAGTATTTATGGAAAGGACATTTTAAACAAAACTTTTAATTTATTCCACTATTATTTTATTTATTATTATTAATTTATATATATATAACTAATAATTTGTTCCATTCCATGTTGTTTGAGATCAAAGATGTCATGTAACTTGTTAATTGTTGCCATTAAACTGAAGAACTCAAAAATTAAATATGTAACATGTTTACAGGCCAGTTACAACCATTTAACAATCAACCAGAGAAAGAAGGAGACAAGGCACCAGAGGCGGAAGGGAAGCAAGAGTTACCTCCCCTACCTCCAGGCCCACCCCCTCCACAGCCAGCCGCACCTGGAACCACTACTTTCTACCCTCCGACCAGCCCTGGTGAGTTAACACAATATTAGTCTATATACTGAATGATGACTGTTGAATACAGTTTTGTCTTCTCAAGATTAATGGACAATCTATAAATTTGTAAGGTCATATTTAGTCGTGCAGTGTTACCAATCAAGGTATAATAATTCATAATGGAGTGAAAATTGGCTCACGAAAGAGATTAAAAGTTTTTTTTGTGACGAGTGTTATGCTGCGTAATGTACAATGAATTTTTGTGATGGTAATTAATATTTGCTGTTTTATGAAAAACCTTTCTTGGAGTTCTCAACCCTCTGAATTTTAAAGACGTATATCGGTTATCAATATTAACTAGCGTACTTTAAGCAAACTTTCATAACTTATCAATCGCCTGAAAGCTAGATCAGATTTGAGCGGCAGTCTGGGATTCGAGTTTAGAACTAATATGCTTGGGTTTTTTGCTGACCATTGAGTGCAGTACAAAAAATGTCTGATCAAAGTCCAGGTTGCCTTAAACTGTTGTCTTTGCGCCCAGGAGACTGAACTGTAGATTAAGGGTTGGATCCCATGAGGGTGAGTAGCATAACTCCTGAGGTGTTCCCCTGTCTGTGGCTGAGCTTGTTGGGAGAGGCCATGAGCATTTTGGTGCATATGGTTCTGTGAGTAGTGTAGCCTTAGAAGGGAAAAGTGGCTCTATGCTTGGCCAGAATTCTCTGTCACAAAATTTAAATACATTAATAACACCTTTACCTTTAATACCTGCTGCGATGTCGTTGACCAGAATTTCTAGATAGACTGTGTCAAGGATAAACTAAAAATAATATTTACACTATTTACAATACTTTTGGCAAGATGGCGTTGAGCCTATACTCGGTGGAACGCATCAAAATACTCGTCAACTGAGTACAGTGGTCGGTTGACTAGCCAGGCTTTAACTTTCTTTTTAAAAGCGGACGCTTCACAAGACCTTAATCTTTGGGGGAGATTGTTGTACATCATCAGAGCCCTAATGCGGAAAAAGCTTTGTGTTTTGGACAGCCTGCAGTAAGGTATGTGGAGCTGGTCTCTGTTACGAAGGTTGTGGGAGTGATGGAATTCCCTTGTTGTGAGCTGGTGTAAGTTATTCCTCACATGACAGAGGCTAAACAGTACATACTGGCTGAAGATAGTAAGGATTTTTAGGCTTCTGAAGATAGCCTACAGTGCTCACTGTTACTCTTCGATGTAATGATCCGAACCGCCTTTTTTTGAAGGAGAAGAATATCTTAACACCTTGCAGCGTGTCCCCAAAGCAGGAGTCCATAGGAGAGGTGGGAATGAAACAAGCCATGATAGACAGTGGTCAGGTATTGCCTCGTCAACAGGGGTTTAAGTCTGTGGAGTAGATGGACGACTCGAGAGAGCTTCGTACAGATACTGTCCACATGGCCACTCCAGCTAATCTTTGTATCTATGACGAATCCCAGCAGCTTCACCTCTGTTAAAATGTCAGCGTTTGTATGACTGACACTGCACACAATCTCTTGAGGATTTTCTCGGTTGAGGCTCAATCCGTTTAGCTGGAACCAAGTCTTTGCCAAATCAAAAACTTCTGCGGCCTTTTCCCTGGCCAAAACTGGAGTAGATCCTCTGGCAACAATTGTTGTGTCATCAGCAAACATTAGGACGCTTCCAATGGCACCAAGGTCATTTATCATGACTAAAAAGAGGACAGGGCCCAAATCTGAGCCCTGCGGGACACCATCCTCAACTAATCCAGGTGAAGAGTTAGCTCCAGATATCGACAGCACTTGTCTTCGGTCACTGAGATACGACCTGAAGGCATCAAATACACTGCCACGGATCCCAACGTTTTCTAATTTTTGTAGTAGCATCTAATGGTTGACGGTGTCAAAGGCTTTGCTGAGATCTGCAAGGACCAAAGCAGCAAATCCCTTATCCTCAAATGTATCTAGGACCTCTCCAATCAGCTCAGAGACAGCTGAGATAGTCGAGTGACCACGCCTGAACCCATGCTGGGATCTTGCAAGCAGAGAGTTGCGCTCCAAGTAGTCTGCTATAGTTCGGCCGCTTAGAAAACGACCTGCGCGCTAATGCTAAACCAATGCTGGAGGAGGTCGCTTTTTAAGCGGCCGAACTATAGTTGCCTCTTCATAACAGAGATATACTAAAATTTAATTCTTACTTTAACCATACTGTGTTTTGTAGCCACAGGAATCTTGTTTGAAATTTATCCAGCCTACATGTGTGTGAACATAAGATGAGATTAAAATAAGAATTTAAGACATTTTAACGTTCCAGGTGTTGCTGGTCCTAGTTGCGGGCCTGTTAGGTTCAACATGACTCGACCAACCAGGCCTCAGTTCAACAACCAGCCATTTAACAACAGCAACAACAACAACAACAACAACAGTGGTAGCTCCAAGAAGAAAAGGAAGAAGAACAAGAACAAGTTCAACCAAAACCAAAATCAGAACCAACAGGGGCCGCAGATGCAAGGCTTTGCTCCTCCTCTGCCAAACCAACAGATGATGGGTACTACTGCACCTCCACTACCACCAGGTGGGATTTAATTATATCTAGGTTTATTTTTAGCCATCCAACAATTATTTGTTTGTAAGGAGCAATGATATATTTTACTGAGTTCGGTTTGTTTGGCTTTGGATATTGCTAAGTATCTTCGTCTATTTTAAAGTAGTAAAGTAGCCTACTATTTTATTGCAAAATTAAAAACTGTTCTTTAAGACAATTTTTTTACTATTATAGAAAATCGTGAAGCTATTTGAGTTTAAGGATAGTCAACAAATAACCTGCTAATAACATTTTTAAATCATAACTAATGAAAGAATGTCTAAAAAATGATTTTCAAACCTCTTTAGCGGAGATTTTAGTCTTTCTCTTGCAGCTCAAAGCTATATTTAAATAATTTTTTCAGGTCCACCACCCAGCTCTCCAAAACCACCCCCAGATGAAGTGAAGCCTCCCCAGGTAGATGCCCGACCTCAACAGAACAGACCAGCCAACGTTCTGGCTAATGGAGCAGAACAGGAGTGGCCCAAAGAGCTGTCGTAAGTAGTGTGACATTCAAGAAACCCCTTTCAAAGCCAGAAACATGTTGTACAAATTGGAGTGGTTTAACTGTAGAATAAGTAACTTACACAATCAGAGCCTAAAAAGATAGCTCTTTATAAATGCTTTACCTATAACCATAGTCTAAGCAACACAAGTAGATTGTAAATTTTGAAGCTTGTTTTTCATGTCTAGTTCATGTACGTCCACACTGATCGCTGGGGTAGACCACATTTTGTTTCTATTATTTTAGGGTTATTTTCATGATTTGTGCTTTACTATTTGGTTATATAACTGGGGGACCAGTTATTCTTTATGATTAAATCGTTTTATATGATTAAATGAGGTTTTAAATGACTGAAAAAAAAAACAAATTGTAAACAAAACATAACCTCTACAGTTGGACGTACAGAACAAATAATAAAATTGGCTTCAGTTGTTCCATAAGGATGACAAATCTACTAAGGGAGTATGATTTATCTATGCTATAACCTATATAGCTCAAGAGCCCATGCATGCCAGACTTTCGTTATTGTATAAAAGCTGAAAGTTTCTCAGCACATGCTCCCTAAGAATGATCAGCGAATATGAAATTTGGATCTTTGTTACTTTGGTAGCTAAAAGGTGACAAAGGTCTGAAATTTGCAAATAACCTTCGTTGTAGTATAAAGCTTGGTTCTTTCATATTTTCTTCGGAGGAAATTTAGAAATCATTTCCCCATTGCCAGACACTTTGTGTGGTTTAAGCCCTCTGCCAGACACCCTTAAACTTTGGTATGACGAAATTTAATTTTTCTCATTTTATAAAAGCTGAAATTTATATATGTTACTTGGGGAGCTATCAAAAGACGTTGGTTTATTAATCTTGCCAGCCACTTTTAAAGTCTGCTGTGATGGGCTTAACTGTTACATGCAAACAGTGAATTCAGTTCCAGTTTGGGACAGGTTTCTGTGCCAAATGTAAACAGTGAAATCACAACTTATTTCTAATCTTAATAGCTTTAATTTACATCATAGTATAAAATCTAAATTTGATATATGTTACTTGGGAAGCTATGAAGTAGGGATGGACGGGATTGAATTTTTAGTTCGGGACGGGACGGGACGGGATTTTTATTTCCTTCCCAATTTTTGGGACGGGACGAGACGGGATTTTTTTCTGTGCATGAAAAGAAAGTACTGTATTGCAGTTACCAAAAAGACATACGAAATCAATTTTTACCATTTGTGGCACTGATCTATAAAAACAAAAAAATGGGTAACAATTTACAGGTACCTATAGTAACTTGTAACTCGCGGATCACGGGGTGATCGTCTGTATGACTCACAGTCACGGCGCGATCGTCGTCATGACTCGCGACTCGCGGTCACGGCACGATCGTCGGTATGACTCCGCGGTCACGGGGTTATCGTCGGTATGACTCGCGGTCACGGGGTTATCGTCGGTATGACTCGCGGTCACGGGGTTATCGTCGGTATGACTCCGCGGTCACGGGGTTATCGTCGGTATGACTCGCGGTCACGGCATGATCGTCGGTATGACTCGCGATCACGGCTCGATCGTCAGCATGACTCCGCGGTCATGGCGCGATCGTCGTCATGACTCGCGGTCACGGCGCGATCGTCGTCATGACTCGCGGTCACGGCGCGATCGTCGTCATGACTCGCGGTCACGGCGCGATCGTCGTCATGACTCGCGGTCACGGCGCGATCGTCGGTAGGACTCCGCGGTCACGGCGCGATCGTCGGTATGACTCGCGATCACGGCTCGGTCGTCGGTATGACTCGCGGTCACGGCTCGGTCGTCGGTATGACTCGCGGTCACGGCTCGATCGTCGGTATGACTCGCGGTCACGGCGCGATCGTCGGTATGACTCGCGGTCACGGCGCGATAGTCGGTATGACTCGCGGTCACGGCGCGATCGTCGGTATGACTCGCGGTCACGGCGCGATCGTCGGTATGACTCGCGGTCACGGCGCGTTCGTCGGTAGGACTCCGCGGTCACGGCGCGATCGTTGGTATGACTTCGTCTCCTGCGTTCGCGGACCTATCGCTCGCAATAACGGCGCTATTGGCACTCGCGAAGCGGAAAAATCGCCGACGATCGGACCAAATCCCGTCCCGAAAAATTCCCGAGTCAAATGTAATCCCGTCCTGATAATCGGGAATATTTTTTTCCCGAAAAATTCCCGAAATTTCGGGACCCGTCCATCCCTACTATGAAGGGACATTTCCTCAAAAGCCAGACACTTTCGTTGGTTATTTCATCTTGCCAGACACTTTAAAAGTCTGCTGTAATATAAATGGTAGTTGTGGATTTAACTGATACACACAAACTGTAAATTTGGTTTCAGCGACTGGCACATTTCAATTGCAAATATGTAAGCAGTGAATTCACAACTTATTTGTTATCGTAATTGCTTTAATTTCCATCATAGTATAAAAGCTGCATTCTATATAATGTTACTTGGGAAGCTATCAAAAGACGTTTCCTCAAAAGCCAGACACTTTCGATGGTTATTTTATCTTGCAAAACACTTTATTAGCCTGTAGTAATATAATAGGTAGTTGTGGGCTTAACTGTTCATACAAACAGTGAATTTGGTTCCAGTGACTTGCAAATGTCAATAATTAAAAATTTAATATATGTTTACATAAAACACATGGTTTATTATTAAGACAGATTGTGCAGAAGAAAGTAGTAATTTCACTGTTTACATTTAGCACAGAAACCGGTTCCAAACTGAAACTGAATTCACGGTTTGCATGTAACAGTTAAGCCCATCACAGAAGACTTTAAAAGAGCCTGGAAAGATGAATAAACCAATGAAAGTGTCTGGTTTGAAGAAATGTCTTTTCATAGCTCCCCAAGAAACATATATCAATTTCAGCTTTTATAAAATGAGGAAAATTAATCTTCGTCATCATTAAGTTTAAGGGTGTCTGGCAGAGGGCTTAAACCTCACAAAGTGTCTGGCAATGGGGGAAATGATTTCTAGCATTACTCCGAAAAAAATATGTAAGAACCAAGCTCTATACTACAACGAAGGTTATTTGCAAATTTCTGACCTTTGTTACCTTTTAGTTGCCAAAGTAACCAAGATCCAAATTTCATATTCGCTGATCATTCTTAACTGAATTGGGGGCATGTGCTGAGAAACTTTCAGCTTTTATAAAATAACGAAGGTCTGGCAGTCATGGTCTCTTGCTCTAATAGGCCTACTAATCAGAAATACAAATCCATACAAAAACATTTGTATATATTAGATGCTAACACTGTGTCAGCAAATATTAACAATTTCTCTTTAATTTTGGCAATTTTAAAAATACATGAATAAATAAACTTAATTTTACCATGTTCCCATCTAAAATTGATCCAAACTAGATTTTCTTTGAGTTAAGCTTGTAATATTACATGTCATTCATTCATCATTAACATTAATTTCTGTATTATTTTGTGTATTTTCTCCCATAATGTCTGTTAATGCCCCTGATAATGTATTATCAGTTATTTAATATGTTCCTCCTTGTTAATGTGTTATTTTATCCAATTTTGTTCAATGTTATATAATATCCCATCACCCCACAGAAACATCATCCTATTTTATGTTACAATATAATATTTATGCAAATTCTCTCCATACCTATTAATTACTCATCAAAAACCAACAATAATCATTTATTTAGAATAATATACAATTGTAAGAAAATTACAATATAGTAATAACATCTTAAATATAGTATCACTTTTCAAAATTATCCAAAGAAAATCAAAATTACTGTGGCAAGTGTCATTCATGTAAATTAACCAGCTGTACATCACTTCAACAATGGACATGGACTTCCTGAGTTTCTACCATTGCCTCTGCCCAGATCCTGCCAACTCTTCACAGTGTGAACATCATTCTATTGGAAATTGTGTTTAATTTAAACTAAAATTCATAATCCCAAAGTAAAACCTAAAATTTAAATTTCTCATCATCCAAAAGTATTGGACAAGTGCATTGAAGAGTACAAATTTATAAGAAGACAGACACTCCAAATTTGGTAACCATCATCCATCTTATTTAACTAAGGACAAATTTAATCTTCATTGGACATTTAATCAGTATAGCCTACTAGGCCCAAAACTCAACTTATCAAGATATATACATATTTCAAATTGAACTTTTATTCAAAATTTAATCTTCAAATTCTATTGTATTTCATTAAATTCAGTGAAACCATTTGGAATCTTTCTTTGGACATTAACATTATTATATTAATAGCATCATGAACCTAGCTTAACTTATTTCAGAACAATAACTAAATTAAATTATCTACATTTTAAAGAAGCCTAATATATCATTCGAACCGGCACGACCACCCCTCCCTGAGATTAAGAGGTCATCTATTTGAATATTAATTAGTACTTAAGAAGAAACCAACCCAATATAGGCCTAAGCCTAGAGAATCTTTTCATCCACTTTAGAACCCCACCATTTTGAAAATTTACCATTGTTAACTTACCCTGTAGCTAATTCAACCAATAACTTATCTTATATTTGTATTTCATTAATAAATTTATATTGTAACTTATCAAATCTATGTATTCTTAAAATAATTCATAATTATAAGATTAAGACAAAGACTTACCTCATTAGACAGAAATAAAACACAAATTAGGAATTATCTTTATTAAGAAAGAAATGACTTTGAGTTCAATGTGGGCTAACTTAATAGCCATAGGAATTTTGTAGGCCTAAGTTAATGAAAAATCTATAGAAAGCTTTATGGTGCGTAGCAAGCTGAAGGCTTAGGCAAACTGTTAAAAGATGTTTTTTACAGGAACTACATCAACAAATGCTATGCCAGGTGTCAAAGTGACGTAGACAAGGATAGAGTGAGCATTATCCTGAAAGGAAAGATTCTTCGTGCCACCAACGATGGCACTCTGTGGATCAAGGACTGGGCCACTGAGCCCCTTCCTCTGTAAGTTTTTAGTAACAAAACATGTTATTTCAAAACATTAACTGTCTCTACCACTTGTGTGGTTTATAGTACTGTACTAGCTGTCTCTCTGTGACGACTTCTACTCACAGCTCAGAACCTCGTTAATTGTTAATTTACTTGGTATCAACACTTTTAACAGGCATCAAAACAAACAAAATTTTGACAATAACCTATGCTGGTCTTCCAAGCATTTGAGTTATTCATGTTAGTGAAAATGGAACATGTCCCTGTTCGAATTAAGCAGTTTTATATTTCCTTTGGTTACGGAGCATGCATTTCCCTTTGAAGATAGATTATACATCACCCTTTTTCAAAGGTAAATATATTTTGTTATTAGAAGCTGCTTTTAGCGAATTTCCCATATAGGGAATAAATCTATTACCGTAGTACTCATGGTAAGTCCAAACCTTTTTGTAGAGCTTAAAAAAACAAATAGTATATTGAAGTGTTATTATGCGCCTAATGGTTAAAGAGAAAATACCAAAAAAATTGTAAATTGAAAATTTCCATGTTATTTTTATGTAGAATAAGTAAACTGTTGTTCTTTGCTTGTTTACGAGCATTATTTTGATCAAATTTGGAAAATTCATTTATTTCTTACATTTCACATTTTAAATTTGGAAAATGCATCTATTGACATTTAAAAAAAAAAAAACACTTTTTACCCTCTCTGTAGTAGCAAACCTAAGTACTCGTTAAACTAATGCTATTTAAACAGGGAATAAATGTGATATTTTTAAGGTGACATTTTAGTGTAAATCAAATCAGGCAAATAGAAATTCTCTTAGTCTGCAGGTTTGCTACGGTAGGGGTATTTATATTTGGTTTATATTGTATCAAGCTTGTTTTATTCAGGCTTGAGAGTGAGATGGACACAGTGAGTGTTAAACAGATTTTTAAGCCGAATGAGCTGGGTGGGACCCAAAAAAAGCGTCTCCCATTGGCCAGCAGACTGGGTGCTAGAGTGAGGTCAAGGTCACGATCTAAGTCACCCTCAAGGTCACCACCCAGCAAGAAACAGAAGACACCTCCTTCAGTTCGAGGCAGACGACGCAGAGATAGAAGGTTAGATCAGGCAGCGTTTGAGTTATATTTTTAAGGAAACTCTCATGTGTCATTACAGCACACTCCCGAGATTGTTCATTATCGCCGAGATTGTTGGGACCGAGACTACCTCGGTTACCTACCGAGAATCTCGGATAACACAGAATCCACATTAGATTTTGAGGTTAGGGTTACGGTACCTTAACATGAAGTCAAATACTCGTAAAATATATCTCTAAACAACACAAAGCGAATAAAAAATAATAATAATGTAATTTTGATGTAACCTTTTTTCCAAATAATGTAGTATTAAAAAAAAAATACACAACAAACATGTTCAACACATTTTCACTCGTCTTGAAAAACTTTAAACACAGTAGCCTATTATTAGAATTATGATAAACCAATACACACTAGGTATTATAAAAAAAAAAAAAAAACCACTAAGGTATCTTTCTAGTTTAAAAAGCATGAAATTGCATGTTTTTTTTAGTTTGACCTGATCTATAACTTGTCACAATCATGTCTACATCAAAACATAGTAATAAAGAAGACTGACACTGCCATTGTTTATGTTATGGAGACGGATCCTCCAGTCCAGTTTGCCATTGGTAGCCGGCCAACCTAGTTCCATGTGATTTTAATTTTTAAGGTTATTGCGGTTAATTATAACGTTAAAATAATACTTAATGGTTATTAAAACTACTGTATTTGTTAAAATAAATCACAAATTAATTGCTATATTTACGTATCTTTAAATAGAAACATGGTATAATAAAGTAATTATTGTTTTCTTCGGATTATTGGTTACCTTGGATAACCGGAGCTCGGATAATTGTGAGTTTTCTGTCCCTGATTCAGGTTCAGGTAATTTTATGCCTTTATAGTTTGCATCAGTGATTTGGAGACAAAACAACTTAAGTATGAAGAAAAAATCACATCAATTAACATAATGTGATAGAAAGTGCTTAAAGAAATATATAGGATATTTTTTGTTACTCAAACCTGATCGTGAAGTGTTTAGTGATAGTAGTGTTATATGGTCTTGTCCTGTTTCAGTGGAAGTTCGGCGAGTGAAAATGACTGGACACCTCCACCTAACAATAAGAAGACTAAGGGCAGAAACAACGATCATTTTGGCAAGAAGGGGGTTAAAGGGAAAAACAAGGGAAAAGGGTGAGTTGAGATTTTTAGTTTCTGTTCATAGCATGAAAACTTTAATGACCACTGGTGCAGAGCCCCCATAAAAGTTTTTTCAAAACTCTTCTTGTTGCACACCTACAGCTAAATTGGAACCTACTTTCCAATTCCCGAGTTGTCATGGCTTGTAGTTTTTGAGTAATAGTGATCAGTGAGTGCGGGACATTTACCTTTTTATAAGTATAGATAAATTAAATAATTTTGTTACTAGTACTAATTCATATTGAAAGGACCTTGCAAATTGCACATTTTAAATCTGACTGTATTTAAATATTCAACTGTATAGCACATTAGGGATGGACGGGTCTCAAAATGTTGAAAAATGTTCTGGAAATTTTAAATCTCGTCCTACGAGGTGAGATTTTATTTTAATTGAGATTTTTTCAAGACGAGATAAAAGAAACTTAGGAACGCCTGCAGAAAGTTGATGGAATACCCGCAATAAAGGAGCACGTTGTTGTTCCGTTTCATTTTTGAAGAATACACTCTTGACATATAAATATTGCTTTAATTGTTTTATATTTTTTTATTTTGACATCGTAAATAACAAAGTTTTGTACTGTAAGCAAAGTGTTGAGACATGTTTTATTACTGTTAACATAACCAAAACAAGTCACTCCAAAATCATTCTAAAAATAACACAAGTTGTTACTAGATACTTAACTAGTAAAACTGATGTTTCAGACTGATAAATTTTGTGATTTTCAAACTTGAACTATTTCCTAACTGATATCACCATGTTTCCTATGCCTAAGAGTTATTTTCAATAAGGTAGGCCTAATTAATGTATGCTTTTTTTATACTGATGTTTTTATTGTTCTTTAATAAAATATTTTAAATATTCTTGCCTATTATTATTATTTTTGTATTCGACCAGTCATATGTTTCATACAGTAAATCAGTATGTATTTAACAATGTAAAAAAATCAGGTTAAAATGTCGAATGGGTATTTCCCACTATGTATGAGAAGGATAATCCCATCTCGACCTCGTCTCGAAACTTTGTGAGAAATAAAAAAACTCCTCTCCTCTTGTCTCGAACTAAAAATCCAATCTCGTCCATCCCTAATTCACATTTAAACCATTATAAAGAAAGCTGGTCAACATTACTGAGTTTTAGAAAGTAAATTAAATAATTAAAGAAATCAAACTCTAGACCTTAAGTCAAAGCCCTAAATGAAATTACCTTTATAGTAATTATTTGTCACTCCGCTAGATTATAAGCTTTACAATGACTCCTCAATTGTAAAAATAGGTTAATTAGGACAGCTGAAAAAGGAATGTAACAGTGAAAATCCTTATTGTAGTTATTTACATGGTTCAAGTAGGTCTAAATAGATAATTCTTATCCACAATTAATTAATTTTGTTATTTTTAAGAATGAGGTTATGGTAAATATGACTTATGGTAAATGGACTTATTTTCTGAAACATGTCGTCAGCAGGGTGTCCACATTCTGGAAAGTCAGGGATAGTCATGGAAAAAAAATTATTTTCATTGAAAGTCATGGAAATAGGCAAAAAGTCATGGAAATCCCCAATGATGGATGGATTTGAGGGGACTTTTCAATGCTCTAGTCTGTTGTAACCCCGACTATTGTGGCATTTTTTAGAATTTTTCACAAATGTACGACAATTCAATTTATTAGAGTTGTATTAGCTTATGAGTTTTGGGTTTGTATTAGTCCATTGTTGTACCTATTGTACTACTTTGTTATCTGTTAATACATATTTCAGTAATTTCTGTGAAATAACTTGTCTAGGCAGTATTATTCGTGTGTATATGTTATATTATAATTTTTTGAGTAAAGTACGTGAGTCATGGAAATCACTCATGTCAAATGAGTGTCAAATGTAAGTCATGGAAAGTCATGGAAATCAATGACAGATTTTCTGTGGACCCTGGTCAGTCAAAATAAAATAAATATTTAAAAAGGGTTTTTTGTTAACTATGTTTTTAATTTTTATTGAATTAGTAGGCCCTAAACATGCAAGTAAATAATATATATATATATACATATATAAAAATTTGAACGAATGTTGTTTTTGGCTTCTTGGGACATCTTAATGGAAAATTAAATTGGTCCCGGGCCTAGGTCTCACCGAGCCACCTACGGTAATAGCTACTTCCCTAGGGAAATTCACTAAAAACTGACCATTGTGCAATGACAAACACATAATTTTGCCACGTTGCATTTCTTAGGGTTTTTATTCACTAATACTAGGATCAATTTGTCAATTTTGATTTTTTAATTGTTGCAGACGAGGACACTTTTACTCAGAATTTGGTGAAAACGATGTTCCCGTAAGCTCTGAGCTTCTCGAAAAACGAGCGGCAAGATTTAGTGGGGGCGGGAGCAACAGACGCAACAACAAAATGAAGTTTAATACAACTGTTACTGTTACTAACATCAATAGTTCTCTGATGACATTTGAAGACATCAACGGGGACTTTGACCTGGAGGAATGTCATATCGTGGGAATCTGTCAAGACATTGAGAAGCCATACTTGCGACTAACTGCTGTAAGTGATAAAGATGCACTGATAATAATGTTATTGTACTTGTCATAACAGTAACAAGTAATTTTTGTGTTATATTGTTGGTTTTTTAGAGTTTGTAGGCCCATAAGCCAATTCACATTCTGATTCTATATGAGGTGTTTTACTGTAATGTTTTTCAAAGAGGCTATTTCAACATTGGTCAGCTTAGTAAATATTGATTTATTGTTGCCCTGCCAATAATGAAGTATAGTTGAGTCCTAAAAAATGTTGTCTCATTGAATTTGTTTCTTGACTGGCTGGGCTGGTTGGTGCTGGGTAACTTAACTTTGATAATGACAGACAGTATTTACAGATGTTTCAGGGTTTTCTCTAGGGATGGCCAAGTCTCGAAATTTCGGGAAATTTTAAATCTTGTTACACGAGACAAGATTTCTTTTTGGCCGAGATTTTTATCGAAACGAGAATAAAAAAAATTAAAAATAAAAAAAAACGCCTGCAGAAAGTCAATGCAATACCCGCAATACAGGAGCGTGTTGTAGTTGCGTTTCCTTTGCGAAGGTGTTCTTATTTAATTAATTCTTTAAATGTAAAAATATTACATTAATTATTTTAATAATATTACTTTAATAACATTTGAGAAGTTTTTTTAAGTGTAAGCAGTGTGAGGAATGTTTTATTACTATAAAAAGTCAAAACAAGTAACTATTTTATAAAAATTAATATTGCTTTTATTTTATGATTTATTTTATTTTAGGATGGGTTGAACTCTATCCTAACTGATATCACTATGTTTCCTAATCGTAGGCATTTTTAATAAGTTAGGCGTGATTAATAAAAAAATGTTATGCTGATGTTTTTTAATAAAAGATTGTAAATATTCTTGCCTATTATCATTATTTTTGTATTTAAACAGTCATCTGACAATGTTACAAAATCAGGTAAAAATTTTGAACGTGCATTTCCCGTTGTGTATGAGAAGGGAAATCCCGTCTCGATCTCGTCTTGAAATTTTATGAGAAATAAAAAGTCTCGTCTCGTCTCGAACTAAAAATCCAATCTCGTCCATCCCTATTTCTCAATGTAATATCTTTGTCAGTGGTTACAGAAGACTGGACCCTAGTATTCTTCCACTATTTGTTAGGAAAGTAAAAGCTCATCAGTCACATTTCTGATGCACTGTTATTCCAGGCCCCGGAAGCAAGTGCTGTAAGGCCTCCCGAGATTTTGCGTCAGTCTCTGTCTAGAGTCAAGGAACGTTGGGTGAAGGATCAGGACTACCACTACGCCTGTGAACAGCTTAAATCCATAAGACAAGACCTTACGGTAGGTTGGCACCATTGTTGTAACAGAAGAATGTTAACTCACAGTTTAAAAATCTATTTAATGTTTTTAATTACAAGTCTTTTACATATGTATTCTTTCAATTTATATAAATATATAAAGCACTTGATTTAACATTACAGCTGAAATATTATTTCAGTCTACCTTTTTATGTTTTGACAAAGGTAGAAGGTTTTTCAAAGTTTTATCAGCATATCTATCCAGAAGAAATAAAAAGTTGTTAATTATACTCCAAGCATTACAAATGTGAATCTTAAAAAAATATTGCTAAGAGCCTATCGTCAGTTGAGACGCATGTGTGAGCAAGTGTTATCCTAATCTGACTGTTGCGTCACAGGTCCAGGGTATCAGAGATAGGCTGACAGTGAGTGTCTACGAGACACACGCTCGCATTGCTTTAGAGAAAGGTGACCATGCAGAGTTCAACCAGTGCCAGTCGCAGTTAAAACTGTTGTATGACGAGTTGCCAACAGACAACAAGTGCGAGTTTACAGCTTATAGGATACTCTACTTCATATTTACCAAAGAAAATATGGGTAAGGACATGGTTCTTGAGGTGATACATTTTATCCGTTTATTGTTGACACAGTTGTGTGTAAAAGTGAGGAAGCATAAGTTACAACATCTAGTATAGTAGTTTTTCACACTTATATTATCTTGTCCATACCAATTGTTTATTTTATTTTTTATTTTGGATTGGGTAAAAAAAAAACTCCTGTCTAAGATAAGTTATCAGATTTTTTTTGAAAAGTGTTAAGTGGTTTGCCTATGAATCTAACAGCCTAGAAATTTAATGATTTTGTTTCATGTGATGATTAAAATAAATTGTATATAATGTAGACCTCTTTTATTACTACACAATTCTCTGTTTTTTTTTATGCCTACTTTGTCACAAAATATATTTCCCTTTTGAGTAATGTAACAGTGGTCATTCACTACTACTAACAATGAGTGAATACACTGCAGTATTCAGCTTCGGGTAACCAATCCTATGTTTTTGTTACAGCTAATAATAATGAATCGTTATAAGCCAGTTTAAAGTTATCGAAAGTAGTCCCTTAGTTTAATTTGTTATCTCTTATCTCTTTTTCACTGTTACAGACTTAAACACTGTTATGACATCACTGAGTGCAGATGACTGCCAAGACGAGTGCATCAGTCATGCGCTCAACGTGCGCTCCGCCTGGGCGCTTAGTAACTTCCACAAACTGTTTAAGTTGTACCGTGCTTCCCCTCGAATGTCGTCGTACCTCATGGAATGGTTCCTGCCTCGTGAGCGTAAACTGGCGCTCAAAACTGTCATCAAGGCGTATGTATCTTATTTTGTACCACCTTGAAGTAACTATTTTTTTCATTTAGTTACTCAGTGGTAGAAACAGATTTTTAATCAGTCTGTTGTATCCAATGACACTTTGCAGGCATTTCCAGCACAATGTGATGTGAAGGTATTCTGTTCCATCAACTTGATTCAATTAGGTAGCTTTGCTACTTAATGATTGATGAAAAAATCCATAGAGATGCTTTAATTCTGACTTACGTTTTGTGTGTGACATTATCACTAAGATTTTGTAAAGGGTAATGACATTGATTTTATTATACCACAAAGCAAATAAGAATTAGCCTAGAGACTTTGAAAGTTTAAAGTTTAGTTAGAAGTTGCAACTCGTTTGGATATAACAAATGTGTTTTATAAAATTCTCTGAAGTTGTTTCTGTGTTTCTTTTAACTGACCCTAAAGATCTACCAAGTTCCTAAATAGTTAAGCAAGGATTAGAATTTGAAGTAACAATTATAAGAAATAAAGAACTTTAAGTTATTAATAATTATTTCAGATTGTTTGGTAAGTATGGGTTTTGCAATGTTTCATTTCATAAAGACATCAAAGACATTGAAGGCTTTCAAACACTTCCATGCTTTGTGATCACCATATATTTTAAATGCTCAACCAATCAAATAATCTATTATTTATTTGTTGTATATAAAAAGTCAAAATTAAAATTGTGCTGAATAAAAAAAAGTCAAATACAAAATTTGGCACTGAAACTTTTGGCTTTACAATAATTCTTATTACAACTCTCAACTTAATAAACTCGCAATATTTTAAGACCATTGAATTATAGAAGTTCAAAACTAACCTATAATCTTTGACATCTATATCATCATTTGACGAGAAACATACAAATTACATTTGTAAACAGTTTTGTATTAACTTGGGATTCTATGAATTTGTATGTTTACAAGTTAACCAAAGGCACAGAACATAAACTTCTATCCAACAATAATTGATTATTGATGATTGAAAATAAATTAAAAGAAATGTTGTACTATTTACTAAGTACACAGCTTTTTTGTAGTATTTTATTTAAATTGCCATGTTGTTGAAGTATTTTTATGTTCCAGCCTAACTGTGCTTTCTGTTTTTGTTAAGATTCAGACAAACTCTACCAGTCTCTTGGCTAACACAGGAGCTGGCCTTCAACTCGGACTCAGATTGTGTGGAGTTTTTGTCCCAGTTCCCCGTGGTTTACGCTGATGATGAAAGGACCAAGATAGATTGTAAGACAAGTGCGGCAGCGATGGGAAGTGCGTGAGCATCAAGAAATTGGACTGTGATGAACTTGGTGAAATTTATTGTGATAAACTTTTGCGGTTCACTGAAGGCAGTTTCACTTTCAGTGAATCGTCGATCAAAATTTCAGTTTGGCAAACGACTACTCACCCGTCCATTTTTCCATCTGCTCTAAACTAGTTTCCGGCAAGCAAACCTTTCCCACCCAGTAGTCGAGTCATTTACATTAGGAAATCATCGATCATCTTTAGCGTTACAGAGCTGATTGGGCGATTTGGAAGTTGTTTTTACAAAATTTCGAAGTGAAATTCGGTTAGTTCTTAGAGGGGAAATGTGGATATCTGGACCATCAGAGTTACAACACATTTGCAAATTTTTATACTGTGTCAAAATAGAGGAGAAGGATTGGAAAAATTCATAAACACAGCAGACATGAGGAATATGTTTTGAGTTTTCCTACACAGAGATTGATTCATTGTAAGGAATTTCAACATTAAAGGGAACTGCCTGAGAGAAATTTAAGGCTAGTGTTTTATTATTATAAAAATTCAAGATTAGAAAATCATGTTCGCTTGATATTGAAATAGATTACCAAAAACACCGTTGCTACGCTACAAGTACAAAGTAGTAAAACTTCTGAATGACTGAGTAAATAACAAACAACAGGTTAAAGTTAAATTACTGAAGTAAATTGAGGGGTTTCGGCGTTGAAACTCTCATACAGAAAAATCTACCGGTATCGATTACAGGATTTTTAAATGACGAAGAAATTGATTTCCTGTCACAGTTACATTTTATTTCGCAAATCAAAGTTCATTCGTTGTATGAGTAAAAATTTCAACACCTTCAAGGAATGCTACTTAAGTTATTTAGAGGCACTAGTATTTCTCTGAATATTGGCACTTTTGAAGATATATTGAAAATAATTCAAACGTCCCATCGTCAAGTCATCTACAGTTCTGCAATGTATTGCTACATTAATGACACACCTTTTTTTTAGAGCTGTTTGCAGCATGTTAATTTTTAAATTGTTGAGCATGTATCGGCAGCAACACATTTTTACCTCAACCGTAATTTCAGGCATGAAGAAGATTTGTAACGGATAATTATTTATTTAAATATGGCCATATTTGAAGTTTATCTTGAAAGAGGAAAGCAACCAAATCAAAATTGTCTTATTATTTTAATCAAAGATATAACAAGAGATTTTTAGAAGAAGAAGCATATTTGATAAGATATTGGGGAAGCATATGTTATTCCTAGGATTAGAATTGGTTGTTGATTGACCTGAATAATATACAGCATGAATATTATCAATGTAACTAAAGTCTTCGTACAATGTGGAGTTATCAAGAATATGAAGAAGCATAGGTTCCTAAAATGTTATTTCTAGAAATATGAATAGAGAGAATTGAAGATTAGAAGAAGATTGATAATGGCCTGTGTTATATACGATGAAGAAAAAAATACAGTAGCAAGTCTACGTCTTTGAAGAACCATTCAGATATAAATGTTATTAAAAGGAATGAGATGACGGCTTTCTAATGAAGATATTCAGCGTCAAGTAGAAGATCTCACCAAATTATGTTTTATGTTCCAACATTTCCTCTGCTACTTTTCACCTTGTCCATTTTCCATTCCTTCCCTTTTCAACATCATCCTTTCTTACATTTCTCACCACCACCTCTATCCAAATCAACTTTTTCATCCTTTTCTTGTGCTAATGAGTTTTTTTCAGAATTTACTTAAGTACCTGACAGCCAAATGAGGAGCGGTGGATTCTTGCAGAAATGGTGAAAGCAATCTCGGCCTTTCACAGCAGCGGAGTCGCAGTCGACTGGTGTCGTCCTGGGACAGCCCTTCGTTTAACGTTGTAAATATGTGAATTATTGTATATGTATAGCAAGATTTTTTTTTATTATTCTTAAGATGAAAAATTAAAATATTTTTTATTGGATGAACATTCACTGATTTAATTTATGTATTACTAGTGCAACTATATTGTAGGTTAGGATATTGCCAGGTTACATGTTTTTTGATAAATGTATCAAATACAGGCTTTTGTCAATCTGTATGATTTGCTTATAATTTATTTTAGGGTTTTAAATTAAACAGTTTTAGATTTGAAGTTTTGTTATTGGACAACACTTAACTCCCCAGAAATATTACAGAAAAAACATCCAGCAAATTGATTTTATTCATATCATTGCAATCAGTGTGTGTTTATTTCAACTTAGGCAGTGGCGGCGATAGCGGGCTAGGGGGGCCCGTGAGCCTTGACCGGGATTTTTCGGGAAATTTTACCAGGACACAGGCCGGCAATTGTGTGACAAGCACGGCCACACCCTATCATAACAATATTCAATATGAAAATTACCATTTAAACCCAGTAAGAGCACTAGGACGAGTAGTTTACAACAGCTGAAACTATTACTTGGCCGATCGATATAAATTCTCTACCAACCTAAGTAAAAGAATTGTCATCAGTCATGCAGGTTGCATCTACAGTCCTCGTGGACTGTGTGAAGACGCTATTTATAATAGGGCCGTATTTCGAACCAATGTAGCCCCCGGCCTAGGATAAAACATTAATTTTAATCATCCTAGGCCCCGGCGGGGCACACCAGAGAGGGCCCTCAATCAGTGCCGGATTTACCACTAGGCCGATTAGGCCGCGGCCTAGGGCCGCAGAGCAAAAGGGGGCCGCAGAGGATTGGGAAAAAACATTTGTTTAGATAAAATAAAATAAAAAAAAATTAATTAAACCACCAGTTACCACGATCACAGGTGACCATAATGATGTCTCCGTGGACCGAGAGAGATGTTCACGATTATGCCGCGGCCGCGGGTGACGGGGATGTGTCCTTAATGATCGCAGCCCGCAGGAGACGTTCGCGATTTAGCCGCGGCCGCGGGTGATGGGGATGAAATGAAATGAAATATTATTTATTTATACAGGCAAAAGTTAGGGCCACATGGCCCTTTCTTACACTTAACCTGTCATAAATATAACACATATATTTTAACAATTACATTAATATACAACAAAGACAAAATCTAAATCATGGATACAGAAACATTAACAAAAGAAAATAACTTACATTTTAAACTGTACAAAAATAATCTTCCTGTCTCCCTCTCTCTCACACACACACACACACACACACACACACACACCTAGCACATCTGTCAGTGACCAACCAGCGTACAAGCCCCTAGGACTAACCAACCATGGCCATACGTTCAAAATACATATGTCCATATGTGTAGCCCTACTATGTGTAGTCCATATAGTCAGTGTGAGCCCAAAATACATATGGGATGTGTCCTTAATGATCGCAGCCCGCAGGAGACGTTCGCGATTTAGCCGCGGCCGCGGGTGATGGGGATGTGTCCTTAATGATCGCAGCCCGCAGGAGACGTTCACGATTTAGCCGCGGCCGCGGGTGACGGGGATGTGTCCTTATGATCGCAGCCCGAAGGAGACGTTCACGATTTAGATGCTGTATCGAGTTGTCAATGATGATGTCCCAGTGATTGCGGCCCGTGTGCGGGAGATGTTCACGATTTCGCCGCGGTCACAAGTGTCGATGATGATGTCCCCGTGATTGCGGTCCGCGGCAGATGTTCATGATTTCACCACGGCCGCGAGTGTTGATGATGATGTCCCCGTGATCGCGGTTCACGGGAGATGTTATTGATTTCGCCGCGGCTGGGGGTGTCAATGAGGACGTTCCCGTGATGGCTTCCCGAGTGGGATGTTTACGATTTCGGCACGGCCGCGGGTGACAATGATGAAGTCGTCATGATCGCAGTCCACGGGAGAGGTTTTTAACACGACTTTGCCACGATCGCAAGTTTCGATGATGATGTCCCCGTGATTGCGGCCCGTGGGAGATGTTCACGATTTTACTGCGGTCCCGGATAACTATGATGGCTTTGACTTGGCTTAGGAGAGATGTCCATGATTTCATCCAGGATCACGGGGGCCGATGATGATGTTCCCTTGATGTATAGGAGATAGTCACTATTACTTCCGCGATCGCAAGGAATTTTCACCACAGGGGGAGGGCCGCTCAAGTAATTTGGCCTAGGGCCGCAAGTACCCCAAATCCGGCACTGCCCTCAATGCTGATTTAACATAATGAACTTGACAATTTGTTACGATCAAATCGGCGAATTAACCTTGGTGCCTGATGCACTAGCTAATAAATAATTCTATTCTTTCATTGACGCTAAAGAAGGATTTTCATTTCTTACTATTAGGATACTGCTTTTTAGATTTGTTTACTTCGAGTCAGATAAAAAATGTTACTTATAGGCCTCGGGCCAAATCAGATCGGTTCAATACCGGTTTGCTTTGGAAACTGTTAATTTTACTTTCTCCCCCTATGGAGAAAGTATTGTTTTCTTTCAAATTCAATTGTGGAAAAATGATTTCCCCGTCACCACGGGTCGCGGGAGATATTAGGGATTGGGCCGTGAACGCGGGAGACGATTATGTTGTTATCTGATGATGTCATCGGTTTGGTTGCAATCACGGTAGACTATGATAATGTTTCTTCCATGACTACGGGAAGTATTCACGATTTTGCCGCGATCATGAGGCCTCGGGAGACGCCGTGCCAAGCTTAAGTGCAAGTTTAGGTGGTTGTACATGTGATATAATGTTTTTTAAGATTATTGGGATTTGGGAGAGGGGGGCCCGGTGAACAAATTTGCTGGGGGACCCGCGGGCTCTTATCGCCGCCACTGAACTTAGGAATGATATTTCGGAAGCTATGGTCAACTCCCAAGGACAAAATTCTTACAAATTTTAGTTCTGGAATACATAGTTAAGTTGGTAGTAGATTTTCCATGGCTTAAAACAATCTTCTTGTTAATTACACAAAATACTGTGGTTTTGAATTTGTCATTTATTGTTATTGCTATGGTTGACTCTAGCTTCAAAATTATATTGCAGTTGAGTTACAGTAATTCACGTTTTAAAAGGTGCAAAACTTCAAGGATAGAAGATTTTTTTGTATAAAGTGTAAATTATTTGTGCCTTCAAGCTTACATTAATTTCAGTCAATGTAGTAATCTTATAATATTTCAAGCATGCAAATGTTGATGTCCTACAAACATTATTAGAAATATCAGGTTTTTGAAATCCATTAAAGTAAAATTGATAAGCAATTTAATTTCTTTTTTTTTTTTTGTTTTAAAGAACCCAAACCTGAATTATTGTTAGTGCGCCAACATAGCAAAAGTATGTTTTTGTAATGTCGTTCCAATATAATATCTTAGTTGGAGTTAACCCTAAACTTGAATTGTTCTTCAATCATGCCATTTTGATATCTTAAACAAATGGAGTTTTGCTTTTAAAATTTGAGATCAAATTTCTTGTAGATAAGTTTTTCATGAAATTGTTGCCAAGCCGTTTTGCAGTTTATTTATGTTGAGCATTTCAATTTTGTGCATGGTGACAATTTTCTTGTTATGAACTAATAAAAATGTAAAATAATAATTTTTGTATTTATTAACCCTTTAGCCCATTGAAAAATCAATTATAAAAAAACTGCATTCCTGTTCCAAATATTTATTTGGAGAGTGGTATCTTGATTTTTTATTAATTAATTATTCAGACAGTTTAATATTAAATCTCTTTTGAATAAAATCGAGGTACCTTGTTACAGGTACTTTATCATAGTAAAACATTAAGGTGTATATTAATTAAAACACTCACCTTTGGCTCGTTGCCCCCTCTTTGGTTAGGGGATTGTAGGAAATATATTCGGGGGAAATCTGTGCCTGATAAATTCTTTTACTGAGTTAAGTAATACCATTGACTATTGGATACAGAAGAAGACATCCCATCTATATGGATCAGCTGTCGCCAATTTTTTACTAAAAAAGAATGTAGTTGTGTGAGCCAGTCACAGATTGCGCTAGTGTCTAAAACTCTATTTGGTACCTTATTTTTCGTTACTAACATAGTTGCTCGGTCACAACAGTTGCTATAGCTCATAATAAGTCATTCCATCAGTTTGACTTGGTAAAAACTATCATGTAATCGGTATAATGTAAACTAATGTTGTTGTATTAATAGTCAATGGTAATACACAATCATAAGAAGGTAGAAAAAGTCTAATGCAACTGAAGTGTTTTTGATACAGACATGGGGGGGGGTTAAATATTATACATTTTTCTAAATCATTCCTTGGTTTTAAAACAAAGGCTAGTAACTGTGAAAGATTTCAACTCCTTACCACGATGAAAGAAGTGGTTCAAGAACTGTTGGGGAGGGGAGGACCCGCATATTTAAAATTACTAAATCCCTTTAATATTTAGTATTTAGGGATTTTAGTACCTCGGTCTATTCATCTTTCCAGATGTCAAGTATCTAGCACGTCTGTGAATGAGTGACAGTTGACCTTTAAACATGTAGTGGCCAGAAAAAAGATTTTGAATTTTTGATGATCCGCCATTTAAAAATTTTGTGAGGGGTGTAAAAGTTTGAATATGTCTTTTTTTGAGATTTTTCCTTCGAAGTTGGGAGCATTATAAGTACATAATTTATAAATAAAAAATCTTTTTAAAACAAAACGTTTTTAAACGCAATAAAAAGTTGAAAATAATTTTTAAATATGTGGAGAGTATAAATACTTGTAAGATTTAAAACAAAAAACGTGGGGTGCATGCTGCAATAGATAATTTACAAAACCTTCACCTATTGAACTAATGTATTATTATCAATTAATTGCATGCACCCCACGTTTTTCGTTTTAAGTATTTATACTCTGCACATATTTAAAAATTATTTTCAACTTTTTATTGCGTTTGAAAACGTTTTGTTTTAAAAAAGTTTTTTATTTATAAATTATTTTCTACTTTTTAGTTTTTAATGTGTGTGGATGTTAAATATATTTCAAGCATATATATCAGATTAAGACAGAGCATGTGGGAAATCTAATTCATTAATTATGTATTAGATTGAATGTATGGCCTACATACTAACTATAAATATATCAATCTATTGAACTTATTGTTTACTTTATAGAATACTAAATAAATAGCAATTGTCATTATTAACAAACACCATTATAACTGCAATCAGATTGTTTATCTTTATTTTGAAATGTTTGTTTGTATAATGAATCTCATGGGAGCTTAACCTGTACGTCTTGACCTCTGCTCTTCGAACTGTCAAATTTAAGTATTTACAGCTGACTTAAATCAATTGATATATTTACATTCTTTCAAAATGTAAACATGGAAAATTTGGAAGCCCATGGGGCGTAGCCCAAGGGAAAATGAAAATTAAATTATATAATATTGCATTGTCATCCATTTGTGAGCTATGTATCAAATTTAAAGTTTCTAGCTCATCAGGAACTTCGTTTGAAATTGATATCAGAATTTGTAGGAAAGCAAGCTAATAAAAACAAGCCCATGAGGCGTAGCCCAAGGGAAATATAAAAATTAAATGATATAATATTGCATTGTCATCCATTTGTGAACTATGGTTCAAGTTTCAAGTCTCTAGCTCATCGGGAAGTATCAAAATTTACAAGAAAGCGAAGTAATAAAAACAAGCCCAACGGGCGTAGCCCAAGGGAAATATGAAAATTAAATTATATAATATTGCATTGTCTTCCATTTGTGAGCTATGTAAGTTTCAAGTCTCTAGCTCATCGGGAAGTGGGTATAAAATTGATTGCAAAATTTGTACCGGACAAGAAAGCGAGCTAATAAAAACGTTTTAAAATAGGCCTAAATGCCCAAAAAGTAATGAAAAACATCAAAATTCTAGGAATTTTATAAAATTTTAGGGTGTTGTTTTTTGGGGCAAAGGGGTGTGATTTTTGGAAAACACCCATTAAGGTTTTGTAGAAAATGTAATTCCTAGCCATGGATATTCTTTCAAATCTTTGCTAGTTCTTACCGTTTTTTAGTTATAGCCGTAAAAAAAACTTGTTTTGTCGTTTTCAGATATCCGCCATTTTGGATTTTTGGGGAGGTTAAAATTTAAAAAAGTGTTTTGGAAAATTTACCATTAATTGTGATGTGGAAAGTGAAAATGGACCTGTTGTCGGGGATGCAACATTTTCAGCCCAGCCGATATAGGTGATTGATTAAGGTCAAAAGTATTGAAATTCGGTTTTTTATCGATTGTTATACCTTATTTAACATAGAACAGGACAGAATCGGTTAATATATCGAGTCAAAGATGTTAAAGGTCTAAATAAATCATTTTGTTTGCCTCTGAACGGTCTGAGAAGAGGTACCTCATGGTGCTGTTATTTCACCATACCGCCAAGAGTTCCCAATTCTAATATTCACTTTAAAAACAGAATTTAGTCCAAAAATTAATTGTAGAAATTTAGATAACTACAACAAAGTTAAGTTTATGGAGAACAATATATCTCATAAATTTGCTGTCCCGACAAGAGGTCTCTTTTCTGAAATGTGATTTTTACGATAAATTATTTAAATGAAAACTACCACGAGTTAAGGCAAACGTTTGTAGTGCCTCCAAAGATGACATTATGAGCTTTCTTTTGATAAAGAAATAGTTTCTTAAATACGAAAAAAAAACTTTTTCTATGCGTATTTGAAATTTTCAATAACAAAATTTCAAAGTCCTTTGAATTGAATATTGATTTGTGTTGGCTCCTTTCCTCTCAGATAAGACAGCTATCCCAACACAAACCCTTGCATTGAACATCAGTATTTTCAACATGAGTTCTTTTTAGCATTGGCATTGGATACTGAAGTAGACATCCTCATCACTATATAGACTAGCCGTCGTCAATTTTTTATTGAAAAAGAACTTTGTTATGTGAGCCAGTCACAGAATGTGCTAGTGCCTCAAATTCTATTTTCTGCCTTTTTGATGAGTCATAATCGTTGCTATAGCTCATAATGAGTCATTTGATTAGTTAGACTTGGTAAAAAAGTGTTTGTATTCAACAAAAATAAGTAATCAAGATCAGCACAGTCAGTCGGTGGCTCACATCAACTACAAGGATTTTTATTTAAAAACTGGCGACAAGTTCAACATGGGGATGGCATGTCTAGTTGTATCAATAGGCAAAAGTCAAAAATGAGCTTCTAAAGCTAATCTAGATTCAATGTATTTTTTATTTTTCAAGTAGAATAAAACTGTAAAGAATAAGCACAATCTAGTTCAATAACTTATTTAATAGTTTATAAGCAGGTTATCACAAACATAACTACCAAAATCCTATAACTTATAAACCAATACCATATAGGAGTACAGCCATTTGACATAAATCTATACATATGTACAAAATCGGTCATGAAACCATAGATCACAGTTCAGCAAGAAGTTTTAAGCCTCGTCTTGTTCTGTTGGACTGTCACTTAGTGTCAATGAGCTTAACTGTTCTGACACAGTATCAACATTAACAACACTTCGAATACCAGCAATTCCTTTAGACGGAATGGTATTCAAATCTCGCTTGATTCTACGGCGTCGATGAGGCTCATTTCGTCGAATCTGAACCATCGCGTCAAAGTCAGCTGTGTACAAGAACCCAGCGATGAGGAGTTCACAGGTTCGAATCCCACTTTTGTAAGACGCTTCTAGTTCTTTGCTGGTTCGCTCATCGTACTGCCACCAACCTACGCATAGGTCTAAATATAATTAATTACAAAAACCCCTTTTCAGGATTAGTTTGTGTTGATTTATAAAATTGGTGGCAGCTGAATTGAATTATTATTGAATTGAATGGTGCTCCAGCAAGCATGATAAAAAGAATTAGGGAGACTTGAGTTATCTACAATATTTTATAAGAAAGGCTAAGTTCAGTTTGTACTGAATAAAGGAATCATAAGAAGTACCAATGACCAACATTAAAGTTATTTTAATACAAGATATAAATTCTAAATAAACAGAAAATTAACACTAGTAAAAATCAACATTGACTTTTTGGCTATCAAGTACAAAACTTTACAAACCTAATACTAGAATGACCACAGTGTTAACAAAAAATACATTGTATAGGCATACAAAGAAAATAAAATGGAACAAGATGGATGAAATACTGTAATAAAAAATTAACACCTGAGACAGATTAAAATACAACTATCTTATTCCAGCAACCCCCTTAAGGACAACGTTGGAAACTAAATCACGTTTTATCCTGCGTTTGCGCATAGGATTATGCTTACTGCACTGGACCATAGCTTTAAGATCAATGGTGTAAAGAGTTCCGCAGATAAGTGTTTCAAACGTGCTTAAGCCAAGCTGATGTACTTCTTCCAAATCTTTTGAGATTCTTTCTTCAAACTGCCACCAACCTTATAAAAAACACAAAAACTAAGTAAAATATGTGTGTTTGTCCCTAGCATGCAAGTTAGTTGCACGTATATAGTAAACAAATATGTGCCAGAATGTTTAATAGATATAGTAATTGAAAAAATATTTCACTTGGCTAGACCTAACTTAAGTCATTTAGGACTCTCAAAGTTGCACAATCCATACTAATTACTGGTCAACATAGGATATATGCATTAATACCCTTGGCCTCAGCAAACCTGCAGACTATGCGAATTTCCATTTACCTGGCTGGGTTTCCACTAAAATAGTTCCTTAAAATTGTCAATATATCCTATATAAATAACATTAATTTGAAAAGTACCGTAGGCTACTTAAGTTTGCTGCTATAGTACAAGGAAGGTAATGAAGCGTCTTTTAGCAAATTTCCCTATAGGGAAGTAGCTATTACCGTAGGTCTCATGGTAAGACCTAGGCCCGGGACCGATTTACTTTTTCATTTTGATGTCTCCAGAGGGCAAAAACACCATTCGTTCAAATTTATATATATATATATATATATATATATTTGTGTACATCCGCACGATAACTTGATAATTTTTGTCCGATTTAGATCAAATTTGGTTTGAAGGTGTAAGGCGGGCTAAACTTGAATGAGTTCGCGAACCAGCGTGATCGGACCATGGGAACGGGGTTTAACGGGGGGTTTTATGGGGTAAAAATGGGTTTTTCTCATTTTTTACCCTTAAAACACAAAATTTCTAAATTTTTCTCTAGACCTTTTTGAAGAGCTTAAAAAAACAAATAACTTATATCGAAGTGTTTTTGTACGATAATTGGTTACGGAGAAAATTCAAAAAATTGTTAATTTAAAATTCCCACGTTATTCTTATGGAGAATATTATAATATGTTGCAGTTTGACTTGTTTATGGATAAATTTTGATCAAACTTGGCGTTTTCATTTATTTCATACTAAGCTATTGATATTTTAATAAAAAACACACTTTTAGTTTCCCTGTAGCAGGTAACCTAGGTACTTGTTAAACATAAATGTTAATTTAAAAGATTAATAATTAAAAATCAATCCAGGCAAATGGAAATTCACTAAGTCGGCAGGTTTGCTGCAGCGGGGGTATTTTTTTATTGAAATGTTGATTTGATAGCTTAGTATGAAATTAACGTAATTGGCACAATGTATCAAAATATATCCATACACGAGCAAACGACTAAAGTTAATTTATTCTCCAAGAGATATAGGTACATGAAAACTTTTAATTATATACCGTACACTTTTTTTGTGAATTTTTCCGTAGCCATTAGGCAACAACGCTTCAATATAATTGTATGAATTGTAATGGGTTGACCTCAGACCATTTTGACTAAATAGTAAATAATGTCATACAGACCATTTCGCCCTTCGTAAAACCATTGGTATGCGTCTTCTGATTCTGCCTCTTTTGCTATTGGATTTTCGGGTATTTGAAGTAGATCCGGCCTATCGAGATAGTCAGGAGAGATTTCTTGGCGACACATGGCACATCTACGACTTTGTTGAGCAATGCCCTTTAGGCAGAGGAAACAGAAAATGTGTCCGCATGGAAGCCTTGCTGGGTGGATACATGGCTGGAGACAAACTGGGCATTCTGGTGTCAGCTCGGGGTTATCAACACTGTTTTTCGGCAACACACCTGACTTGAGAGATGGCTGGTCACAGCTGACGTTTGGAACTTCTGTAAATTGCCATGTAAATTAGAACTAAACAACTGAATTTGAGAAATTATAGCACTATTCTGAAATAAATTATTAGGTTACCTTCAAGGTGGCTTGTCAATAACAACTTACAAAATTACTTTACAGGTGCCTTCAGGTTAACTCGTTCGCTACGCTAACTCGCCTCCAGGTTGAAGTTCGTTCGCTACGCTCACTCACCTTTTGGTTGCAAATTAGGGTCTGACTTAGGGGAGGTACGAATGAGGCATTTAGTTCAAAATTCCTCCGCGAACAGCGCTGTAGTAGAGAGCACTTTGTCAATGAAGGTTTACTATTCGCAAAAATAGTTCTGTTCATAAAATAAAATTATAAATGCCTCAAATTAAATTCTATAATTTTTTATTTATAAAATTAAACTATCATAACCTAACCGAACTAACCAAACTTGCTGATAATTAAATAATATAAAAAAGATTAGTAATAGAAAAAATAATTATGTTTATTAAATAAATCTAGACATTGCTCAATTAAAATTTTATAATGACCTAATAATAAAATTAAACTGTCATAACCGAACCAAACCAACCAAACTTGCTGATAATGAAAAAATCTGAGACAAAAAGTTAATGCAACCAGCGAGATTCGAACCCGGGACCTTTTGCACGCCAGCCCGGCACGCTAACCACTAGACCACCGAAGCCGTTGTCCACACTCCGTATTGTTACGGTAATAGCGTTCCCTCAGCTAATAAGAAGCCCACAGCTGTCATCGTAGCCTCTTCCGTACCTCCCCTGAGTAAATACCTGCAAATTAGCTGTTGTCATACAAAAATAATAGTGCTGCACCCTGTTGGTAATCCTTGTAACTTTAATGCTATTGAACATCATAAAACAGAACCAACTTGTTTAATTAAAACAGCTGTTAAGATGCATTAATTCCTTTTAAATATGAAAAATCATAAGGTTAACATGGGAAACTCCAGAGCCACTGGGGCGGAGCTCGGAAGCCCGATCAGAATAAAAACTACTTAGTTTTCCTATTTAATGCCCAAAGAATCGGTGTACCGAAATTCAGCCTCCTAGGTCAATGGGAAGTGGGAGAATTAGTGATGAGTGAGTGAGTGAGTCAGTCAGTCAGTGAGGGCTTTGCCTTATATATATATAGATATATACATATATAAAAATTTGAACGAATGGTGTTTTTGGCTTCTGGGGACATCAAAATGTTCGAAAAAGTAAATCGGTCCCGGGCCTAGGTCTTACCGTGCCACCTACGGTAATAGCTACTTCCCTATAGGGAAATTCGCTAAAATGCTGTAGGCCCTATATCCCAAACACTACCAGAGACAAGAAGAAATTCATCACACTAACATACAGTAATTGTCTTTTTACAAATCCTACAAAATATTTAGAAACCATGGCTATACAGTTGCTTGAAATGAATGATGATTGAATTTCCAAAATACTACATAGGACCAACAGGGAGATCATTCAAACCCCATTTTTAAGAACACCTTCAGAAGAAAACAGTCAAAACTATGCTGAACACCTCATACAATGTTGGAGACATAATTACTGGTTCTCGAATTTTGGACTTTAAAGTTAAGTTAGGATTTTATAACACATAACATTTCTTATAGCATTTATTAGTTCTTAAAAAATGTTTCCGCAGCAAATGTGTTAACATGCAATTAGTACAAGATGGCACCCAATAACTTACTATTTCTGATTTTGGTATTTATTCCGTATAGGTGCCTCCAAAAGAATTTTTAATTTTGATATCTTACTTTATATTTTTTTACCTCCTGAATCCAAATATACAATTATTTTTCACCGCTGATGAATATTTCTCAAGATATCGCCGTAGAAATATATACAACATTACAATAAACAAGGTAGGATGGATAACATTTACAAGTGGAATGAACTGTGGGTTAACTAAGCCTACAGCTGACTGTTATACGATAAACCACTGTAATTACATGTAGCCTAGTTCTTATTTAGGCACGTCAGGGTGGTAGGTCGTGCTTTATGCGAATTGGTGACTGCATTAAGTGTTTTGAAGTTAGGTTAGATTAGGTAGGTAAAGTTTAGGTTATAATGTTTTGAGTTGTTAGTTTATGTCGTCTGCACACTGTTTTTGTAAAATTAACACTAAGTTTAATACCAAAACCCCGATCTGACAGGCCCACGGGAATTTTCAAAACCGCATGTTGGCAACACTGTTTACTTGGGAGATTCCATTCCCCCAATACCTTCCCCCCTTTTCCTCCTCTACCTATTGATATATTGTTTGTTCATTTTGCATGGGTGCCGTGACCTTGACAGGTTGTCTGTTCATAACATGCCCGTCTCAGAAGCCCATCGTTAGTGTATTTTAAAGCGGGGTCTCACAGACCGGGGGTTTTGGCTAACGTCAGCCTAGGCCCTACCTAGGTAGGGTTTCGGTATTAGTGTTAAAATCCTGAGAAAAACACTTCAAATTACTTTTTCAAAAATGCTTGCATTTTTTAAATAGTATTTAAAGTGTTTGTCTCTGGATTTTTATTTTACAAAAACAGTCTGCAGGCGACATAAACTAACAACTCGATACGGTACATTATAACCTAAACTTTAACTTACCTAATCTAACCTACCTTCAAACCCCCTGACATGCCTTTTCTGACATCAACATGAGTTTGCTTACATTCTAGAGGTTTGATTAGGTTAGGTTATGTTAGAATAGCACCATTGTATTATGTTATTTTTAAACGGCGAAATATAATTCAAGTTAAATCATTAAAATACTGGTAATAATAATTTTTTTATTATGTCTTAACTTAAGGTAAGTTAATGGTCTTAGAAAGTGAAAAGTGTAACTTAATCAGGTGATTTTCATATTGCAGAATCAGAGTTAGCTAATAATGTTGTCACTTCCATTTGCTTGACTATGGAAACAATCAGCTGAGTTGGCTTACTTCTTTTCATTCCACTTGTAAATGTCATCCATCCTACCATTGAGTATACACGTACTAGAGTGGCCACTCAATGGAGGCTATAGTTACCTGAACAGCGCTGTTGTAGAGTAGCGTCAGCGGCCTGAACTACTCCACTTCGAGCTTGTCAGTAAGGAAGTTTGTTTGTTTATTATGATTGCTTTCATTGTAGATTGTAAAATGTAATTTTTGTTGATGAAATTCATTTGTTTGTTCGTAGTTTTGTTGTTTTTTATTAAATTTTTAATACTAAATGATTAAAAGGTCCTCAGAGTGCACTTCACTACCGAGAGACTACCGCGACTGTCAAATATATACACTGTTTTGTTCTAAGTATTCTTATATTAATTTTTAATTTTAATGCACTCTAATAATATGTACATTATATGTAACTGATTTCACCACAATCTCCATTTAAATACCATTTCAAATAGTTAAATGTTTTCCTCATAGAGTGCATCAGTATCTTCAAACCCCAATGGTTTCAAGACTAGCTCTCTGATTGGTCACTGATATGTATCACATGACCAACTCCTTCCTTCAGTAGAGTAGTGGCACACTCTTGGGCAAGTCCTGTTGCTATGAGGACTTAACATGCCTTTTCTCCTACATTTTCAAATACCATAAACCTCTTTACCAACATAAATATTTACCGCTGGCTTATAACTTATTATAAAGACAATTGAAGTGTTTTTTAACATCATATAGTGTGAAAAAGTGAACTTATCAACATTATAGCATTTCAGGATTCATCAAAGGGGGCCCCCAGTCTACGCATCAGTTTAATAACAAAAGGTTAGTGTATCCAATTCAAAATTACTATAATACAGTCCACATTGCTTTCTAATTAACATAAATTCCCCACATTTTTGGTCCTTCGAGCCGGACGGATAAACTCAGTGCATTGGAAATATTTAAAGAATTGTTAAGATTTAATTTCATTGTGAAATACATTTTTTATTTTATCACAAACACATTTTTATAATTTGTGAACATTTATTAAATAAGCCAGTGTTGTTTTATTGATTTTTTTAAATCATAGGACATTGTACTATATATTTTCAAAATCAAACATATTTAAGTTTGATGATTTTTCATATTTCATTTCCAAACATGCACAAAAGTGAAAGTCTAGTTTCATGTCCAATTTTAAATATTCATGATTATATCTTAGCCATTTCATGAGCCTTATCTCTAGCAGACATACCCCCCTTCCCCTCTCAGTATTCTGTTTGCATTCCAGGATATTCATTGTGTAGCCAGAAATAATTATCCTTCCTTTCCTTGTTCTGATTATCTACAAATGTTATTGATTCTCATCTATCACGAAAACAGCTGATTGCTTTGTACAGTAATATTGTTGATTGATCATTATTGTATTAATTGATACTTCTGGAACTTCTGGAAAGTAAATTAAAATGTAAATAATTTAGTGCTTATTAACATTGACATACTGAAGAAAGGACTGCTACATCTTAGTGTGATTTTATATTGCAAATACTTTGCAAAATAAGTTATTGACATTTCTAGTGAAGAAATAACTTTAATTTATAAATTCCAAGGTGGAGTTTATACAGACCTTTTGAGTTTTATTGTGTGTTTGACTATTCTATTCCAAAATGAGATTTTTATCTTTTGTCAAGCAAAGTCAACTTATTGAACAAAGACTTAGTAGTATTGACAAGCAAGTTACAACATTAAGTACTGTTCAAGCCCTTGAATCTTTAAATGATCAACAAATAAATAGAATAAAGTTACTTTCAACTGCAGCTTCTCAAAAACATGCAGAATTTGAAAAAATTGTTAATAAGTTGTTCTCTACAACTCCCCTACCTGAAGACATCGTAGATGAAAAGGTAACCGAACTTCAAGATAAAATATCTGACCTGTACATAAATATTAGTAGCTTATGTAGCACATTAATACCTACACCTGCAGTATCTGAGCAATTGAATCAGTCCACTGCTAGTTCAACAGCACAAGCTGTGGCTGTACCTCCGACAATAAAATTGCCTTCATTGGATTTAGGTAAATTCTCTGGTCAAC